TTTCACCATGTTGGCCAAGCTTGTCTTGAACTCCTGACCTCAAGTGATCCGCCCACCTTGACATCCCAAAATGCTGGGATTACAGGCATGAGCCACTGCACCCAGTGAGCTTTTCAATCTCTTAAAGGGACAAATTTAATTTTCCCTATCCATAAATTTGATGTCATTACTAACTATAGTTCTGTGAAACTTTTTGATTATACATGATGCATCTGTATAAATCAAGGAAGGAATAAAGTTTATTCAAGTTTCAGACTAACTTAAAGAGCTGAGTCGTTACAGAAATACCATCAAACTTAGTCTGCTACTGGACCTGAGCCCAACACTCTCCATGCCTTTTGCCTCCCCAAAACTCAAAACTCACACAGAGGACATAGACTGACCAGGTTTCTAGAAGACACCATTTAACATAAGGAAATGCAACCAAGGAATAGGTTTGAGGGAGAGGGTCTTACCTTTGGGGAATCAGCTTCTAGAGTGATTAGGAAGGGGAGCTTATGACAAAAATGTAATATAAAAATTAAGTAGAAAAAGTTAATTTAAGGTTACGAAAATAAAGGAACTTAATAATTATAGTAAACACTGCCCCAAATCCCTCAATCACTCTCTAACAAAAAGAGATATTAGCAAAACATACGAATTCCTTTTTCTTCAGATCAGCATCTAAGAAGACTGGGTGATTTGAACTCTTATTTATAAATCCTGGAAAACTCCGCTGGAAATCCTATGATGACTGTTGATATTTAGGGACACACTCTTCCCCCAGCATGCACTTAAAACTACCATCCACAACTGCAGGAGTTGCTTGTACGTTTACATACAGAGAAGTAAGAATGGATAGAACTTTTAGGAGTTGAAAGTTTTGGGATAAGAAGTTTAGGGAAGACTTTTCAGGGGGTTGGAATCAGGACTAGGGCTACACTAAATATAAACATTTATGCATATTTATAAAATATAAATATAAAAACACACACAATGCATATCAGTCTAAAAAAGGGAAAATAAGGGAGTGCAAAATGTGGCCAGACATCTAAAGGGGTCCTAGGGGAAGTGAGTGATGAGGGAATAAAATAAAATCATACTGAAAAATAGTAGGCCAAGATGAATGTCCAAAAATGTCATGCACTGTGACTCATTTCTAGCACAGTTCCCCCACCACAGTAATAGCTTTGGAGTAAGTTATTAATTTGAAAAGGAGATGTTGAAAAACATACCAACATTTGAAACAATTACAATTTATACCCACTTTCAGAAAGAATTTTCTGGAATATTTTAGATCTAAATTTGATGGAAACCAATATTATTCTTTTGCTTATGGTTTATGTCAAAAAACAACTGGAATTAGTATAAATTCTTATTATTTTAAAATCCAAACCTTTTAGAAGGAAAGCTTGACTCCTTATCTTTTGAGTTATCGGCAGTGATCAGAAGGTTCCTCCACAAGGCAGTCTTTGACATTTCATCAGATATATTGATCACAGATGGATCATCTCTAGACAGGAGTTTCCCCAAATGAAATAATAAGCATTACATAGTAACTGCAGTTTTTCAATGACAGAAACTAAATATAAGAAAATCATGTATCTATGAAGAGCATTTTTCCCAATTTTTAAATTGTGGTAAAATACACACAACATAAAATGTACTACCTTAACTATTTTTAAAAGTACATTTCAGGGTTATTAAATACATTCATAATGTTGTGCAACCATCACCACCGTCCATTTCCAGAACTCTTTTTATCCTATAAAACTGGAACTCCGTACCCACTAAACCATAACTCTCCATTTCCTCTTCCTTCCAGTCCCTGGCAACCACCATTCCACTTTCTGTCTCTAGGTTTCTGACTTCTCTAAGTGCCTCATATAAGCAGAATCATACAGTATGTGTCTTTTTGTGACTGGCTTATTTCATTTAGTATAATATCCTCAAGGTTCATCCGTGTTGTAGCATATGTCAGAATTTCCTCCTTTTTAAACCTGGATAATGTTCCATTGTATGTATATGCCCCAATTTGTTTATTGTACAGTATTTTTGATAATTAAAAATGAAGAAGTATTGAATATTTCTCTTAATTATTGAAAACAATCTGTGAAAAATAAAAAAATCTAAAGAAAATATGCTAGTTGTATGGATACTGATTTGGCCTGTGGTATTCTTAATTCATTTCAAACTACAGAGAATGGGTTCCACATGTCCATTGCTTAAACTCTTGCCCCTAACATCATAAAATCCAGATTACTTCCCTCCTTTGCTCAGACCTTGCAGTGGCTCCCAGTCACTCAGAGTCAATGCCAAGTCCTTATAATGGCCTAAAGGCTCTGTCCCCACCTCACTCTGATTTCACCTTCTGCCACTGCACCCCTGCTCATTCCTTTCCAGCACCAATGCAGTAGCCTCCTGACTGTTTAGGAACACAATGGGCATAGTGCTCCCTGGGGGCCTTGTCCTTGCTCTTCCCTCTGCTCATCATGTCCCTTCACATGGAGCAACTCTGCCCCTTCTTTGTTCAAATGCCACCTTTTCATATGACCCTGATTGGTGATAGGTCACAAGAGAGGAACAAATGCAACTTTTAAGAGGGGCAAAACCTTGGGTCTCCCTCTCTTGCCCAATCTCGAAACGTGTTCTTCAGTTCCTCTAAACCCTCCAACTGTTTTGGTCTTCATAGAAAGATAGTTTCCTGGTAATTCAAAGCATCAGATTGACTACTTTCTTAAAAAAAGCATCAAGTGGAATAGACATTTTTCATGATATTATGTGAGGAAGAGTCTTCTGAGCAAAAATTTTTTAAAAATACTTGATTGAAGGCAGCTATACAATTTTTTTTAAATGCAGCACTACTTAGATTGTTTCATATGCTAATATGCATTGTGAATCTTCAAACTGGAGTGCAGCTTGGAACATTTTTTTCAAATTTATTTAACCACACAGCCATTTTGAGAGTGGTACCACATGAGACTAGGTTTCTATTGAATACACTTGGAAATATGCTGGTTCAACTAAACAATCAACAGGATTTTAAAATTTAAATGTTGTAAAAAAGAAAAAAAAAGGTAAAACATCTTATACTTGTTTTCCCTCTTAAGTGGGAGATGATTTTTTTTTTTTTTAATTCTAGGGAATATGATTTTAGAGTCAAACCCTAAAGATTCAGAAAATTCTCTCCTATTTTGGTTTTTAACACTATGACAAATTCCCTTCTCAGAAAAAGTCTGCATTTTTATTGGCATAACCTGAAATTATTCATAAAGACTTTGAGACTGTAAAATTGGGCACTAATTGATACTTAGAATTGTACAAGAAAACTATTTAAACTAAACTATATTGAGAGGGAGACAGAGAAGAGAGAGAGAGGGGAGAATTTTGGGCCAAATGTTTGCAAATGTTTTCTTTATAACTTCAGTAGTTTGCTTTCTTTTGCTATGTCTTTGTACATAAAGATGAGCAAATTTTGGAGAATTGCATAAATATTTCCTAAAATGACTGATATGACTGAATCATTTAACTTAAGAAATAGATTATCTTTTTGGAAATTCCTTTTTTTAGGGGCAAATTCCCAGAGATAAAACATTTAATTGTGATCAACTTAGTGAATACCTAGGTCATTTATACCAGAAATGACCCTTGATCTGTCTTCTGGTGCTACTTTCTGAGAATATGAAAGGGATCTTCCATACACATTATAAAACAGGAGAAGGAAAGACTTCAGACAACAGCTTCCTGCTTCACTTCATGTAATGCAATTTGATTATAGTCACACACCTATTATTGGCAAAACTTAGTAGTAGGACCCAGGTTATCTAACTCTTAGTTCTTTCTACTCTAATACAAATTCAAGAAACCTCTCTGAGGATCTACACAGTATGAAATTCTTAAATAAATTATATAACAATGCATTACTTAAATTGATGTGTTTTTAAATTTATGTCTTACCTATAGTGTCCTTCCAATGGGAGTTGTACTGTGCCCTCATCTTCCATAGCTAGCATACTTTGTTCTTCCTGAAAAGACAAATGTAAAGTGTATAAAGTGAACCTGATGAGTCTCCATTTTACATTAAAGAAGAAACACAGATTAATGTTTCATTATCTCATTAACCTCAAGACCTTCCACTCTGTTTGCATTTATTAATGTTAGCATAGGTCCTTTCAATAAAGTATCAGCTACCAAGAACATAAGTAATTAATGAGAGTCTCATAACACAAAGTAATTTAAATGCTAACAACAATCTCCTTCATGTCACTCAATAAAAAACATGTTAATTTCTAAGCATACTTTTAAAAAATTAATCTAATTTTCATAAGAAAAAAGTATGGGTGATATAATCAGTTTTATTGTTATAAAGGTGAAATTATATTCCTGGAATGTTCTATGAGGAGGGGGTGACGGATGTACTCAGAACAGTGGTTCTCAAACTTCAGTTTACATCGGAATTCCCTGGTGGGCTTGTTAGCAATATTCCCCAGAAGATCTGACTCCATAAGTCTGGAGTATAGAGGGCATAAGAAGTTCTAGTTCTAACAAGTTTCCAGGTGATGTTGATTATGCTGGTCTGGTGACCATATTTAAAGAACCACTACTCTAGAGAGTTGGAAGGAGACAGTAAAAGATACTAATATCTTCCTGTATGGATCAAAACACAGATGTGTCTTGAGAGAGGAGGAAATGGAAGGTTTGACTCCATTTGGATGTGTTTTAGGCTTTTGTTTCACACTTCAACTTTCTTCTTATAATGACAATATTCCATCTTTCCTCAAAGGGTGGAAATGATTTTTATATTCATACATGCATTTCTTCATACATAGCATTTTAAAACTAAATCTTTGGGATGAAGATAATCTTATGGCTACCATACCAAAAAATTCTGGTTTCGTTTTCAAATAATGTTATCATCAAAATCTTTCCATGAACCAAAAAAAGACAGCTATTCATAGATTATAGCTTTTATTTAATACATTTATTTAAAAATGGGTCAGTTCAGATAATTACTTCAGGCCATTTAAAATGTTAGAACTACTGGTTCTAACTCCAGAAATGGAATTTTAAGATCTATAAAAATAAAAAACGAGTTGACCCGCTGCCCAAATAGAAACTGATGAAAGAAAATAGGGATGACCCCAAAGGCTCATTTCCTCTTTCAGTAGCTTAGCAGAGCTAAGCCGGCGTGAACCAGCTTCCGGAGACACCTTGATCTTTGGCTGATTTTATTATTCCCGGCATGTAAGACTTTTCCTAGTGTCCTTGGTAATCAGACCTTGATCCCCTCTCGGATATCCCATAGTCTGAATATTCCATGCCATATTTCTTGTTACCTAAAGAAACAAGTGTTTTCTAGTGCCTCTTCAGCTAACCTATGAACATACAATGCAATGTGGGAGCAGATCTCATTTCTCTCTTGGAGTACTCTCCCATGCTGGTCAAGGAAAGCTCCTCTCTCCTGGGACTTTGGCTGTGGTGCATATGGAGTCTCTATGCCCGCTCTATGCTTCGGGATAATGGAGATGCCAGAGACTGCATGAGCTCTGCTACTTCCATGCTTAGAAGCTTTCCCCAGAAACCCTATGTTGTATTTGTTCTCTGTGAAGCTAATGGCATGTGCATTACCCTTTTGCATTCTGGTAACTAATTTTATTTTCTCTCTTTGCTGTTCTTCAAGGAGAAAGTTTTCTTTTATGGCCTATCAAATGTATTCTACTTGTATATTGTGCCTATTCTCCTTGTCATTTGGCCACACTATCAGAACTAAGTCAAGGTGAACGGAGATTACCATTGGTTTGAAATCATCCATTCAGGCATTTTAGCAGAGCTGATCTGCAGCCTAGATTGAGGCTTGCCTTCAACTGAGTTAGTCATAATATATGAAATATATTACATACATAATATATCTTGTAGGCACATCCTGGCAGTCATGGGCAGAGCATATGTATCATTTCAGGTAGAAAAGGTTCCTTTATCTATAGCAAAGGTTATCTTAAGATACATGGAGGGACATAAAAAGTAGACACTCAGTGATACCAAAGGCTACATAAGCAAAGACAAGATGCAATTCTTTCCTTGGTTGCCCACTGAAAGGTGAAGCCTGGTATATGATAACATTTCTGGCTCATCAAGAGTAAAATGTCAAGAAGCAAGGTAGAATGGTTTAAGAAAGAGTAAAATGCAAAAAAAGCTGAAGAGAAGAACAGTGCTGTTGGTGCTTAGGTTACCTGGCAGCAGAAAACAAATGTTCAAGATTCAATCTAACAGCAAAAAATTGGACCAAAGCTTTGGGAACAATTTTGGTTTTTCTTCAGATGATTTTCCACTTTTCTCTCAAATTGCTTTCAATAATTATTTTGCACTCTGTGGCTTGTTAGCATGTGTGGGCTTTATACTAGTCATAATTCTATCCAAACAAAAACTCATCACCTCTAAAGATAGCTTTTCCAAGCCATGCTTATCTGAAGAGAAGGGTGGCAGAGCAGCCGCTGCCTTCAGTGCCAGAAGGAAGCTGGGTGGGCCCCGGAGCGCGGGGATGGAGGGCCGGCTGCATCCCGGCAGCACTGTGAGAAAGCCAAAAATTGAGGCTTTCTGAGGAGGAGCAGTCAAATCAGGCAGTAGCCGTCACGACAGCCACAACCTAGGTTATCTCAATCAGATCAGAAAAGAAAGAGACAGTGAGAGCACAAAGCTGAGTAGTTGACAGCTTAGAAGTCAGAAAAGTACCTTAAAACAAGTTCCATTCAGCTCTTAATTGTTCTCTGTGAAGCTACAACATGGGGAAGATATTAAGGGGATGATGATGAAAGTTTACCCAAGAACCTTTGAGAGAGTTCACCAATTTAACTAGGGGGGTGTTTATGCTATGATTTAAATGTCACCTTTTAATTAAGATAGTCAAAGCAGTTTTCAGATATGAAATAAGTGAAGGACAATTAATGCTACGTCCAGTACAGGGCAAGAAAACTGAGGCTTAGAAAAACAAGTCTACTCCAGAACAGTCAAATATTTATTGAGCATGTATTATGTGCTATGCACATAGTTAACAAGAATAATCATCCAGGGGCTATTAATTCATTCAAGGGCAGGTAGTCTGTTAGGTACTGGGTGTATAACAATGAAAAGAAAGCTATAAACTCGACTCTCAGAAAATTTAAGGGATCATTATGAAAAGTACCAAAGTCAAGGTGGTAGCAAGGAAGAAACTCTAGGTGGGAGGAAACAACGTAGGCCAACCCTAAAAGTGAGGAATAAATAAGATGTGTTTGCATGACAGTGAACAACGAGCCTGGTTGGAGCCAAAAGTCTGTGCTGAGTAGAGGCGGAAGAGATAAATTGAAGACAAATCCTGGTGTGGTCTGATAGTAGGGTGTTATGTATCGAATTACATCATGAATTTGAATTGTATTTAGTGATAGCATTAAAATTATGATTCATATATCATGATACCTAACAAATAACAAAGATAGTTATCCTTTAATTACCTTTAGTGAAATAGGTTACATTTACAGCTACATCCATTTTCAGACACAGTGTGTATCTATGTAGGAGCCCTCAAATATTTTAAAGTACAAACAACGGCAGCAGAGACCAATATTCACAAGTATGCTTAGAGTGTTAGAGAGGGAAAATATTCAGCAATTTTAGAATTCACATCCTAAGAAATGGAAGATTCTTCAGAAATTAAGCTCAACCCTTTTATTTTGCCCAAGAGTAAAACAAAGTCTACAGAACATAGAAGTGTCAAACCATTTTCTTCCTCAGCTACTAATAGAATAGACAATGCTGCAAACATTACATAAACATATAATCTTTGAAAACTTCAAGTATTATTTTTATAACAGGTATTACTTATGATTTCCAATGGATAGAAGAGCCAATACATAAGACTAACAATGAAAGTGGAAAAGGAAAAATGGAGGGCCCATATAGAGTTTATATCAATACATAAATGTGACATATATTTTTCATCAGAATATTTGATTCTGTCTCTCTAAGTAATTACGTAAATTACTGTTAAGCAAAAAATTCTGATAGAGTATTCTTGTATTTAGAAGATTATATTTGATTCTGTGGTTTTAGGAAAGGACTTATCTCAAACTTTAGCACCAGAATCACCTGGAGGTCTTATTAACAGAGATGGTTGGCCCCATCCCCAGAGTTTTGAATCAATAGGTCTGAAGTAACGCCCAAGAATTTGCATTCTAGGTTGCCAGGTGTTGGCTGATGTGACAGTGGTTCTGGAACCACACTTTGGGCAACCACTGCTTATGGAAGAAGAATATACTTGCCCCACCCTAAGATTCAATTAGAAATGGCATTTCTCTGTGTAATAATTTGGCCATGCTTTCCATATCCATAACCAATTCTGATCTATCTTAGCAGTAAGACATCCTCTGTAATTTGTTTGGTTGCACTTGTTTTTGATTGCTTTTATGTTTTCTTGGCCTTTTTCATGATCCTGCATTGGGATCACAGGTTCCCATTTGCCCTCTTCTTGTTTTCCCCTATAGTGTATATGTTAGAGTGAACCCCCAGTAAATCAAGAAGTATCACTATCATGATCACTTCCACAGAGTAGAATTTCTAGGATTTATCCAACACTAACCCTCTTTCCTCCTACCCAGGAGCAAACATTCTGCTGGGATTTTCTGCCTTTAACAGTAAGTAGCCTTTTGTCAAATGTGTACAATGGCCTAGAGAATATTTAAGTAGGAAGGAAGGCATGTTGGTACTCTGAGCACATTTGGACATCCAGAATTTGATTCTGCAGTCTTCCCTTTACACAGAGCAATGTGCAAAATGTCAGGGTTCCAATATTCATTTCTACCCTGATTATAATCCTTTCTTTCTAAAAACTGAAGCATATGCATATGCATATGCATGAAGTACATGAAAATTTGGAACAGAAGCTCTGCGACCTTGGACTGGCCTGTGTAGCTATTTATTCTGCTTAACTCATTATTGAATTTTAAGGTCAAATGAATGTTTTCTCAGTGCCATAAGACCAGAAGTGGGCTACTGATAGGAAAACCCTGGAGGCTAAAGGTACAAGCTTGTATCTATCATCAAAAGGACAAGAGGTGAGCCTACTTTAAATTCAAGTCTCAGGGAGCTGAGACATTTCTGCTATTTACCATCTTGCCAGTTCATGATCAAAGTTACTCAATTAATTTGAGCAATTGCAGAAATGCAACATTTCTGGAGAACTTGTCCATTTACCACCTTAACACACAATCTCCTAGAAGACTGGGCCTTAGTATAAGATGCCACGGTAAGATCACATCCTTCCACCGAGTCTGTAAGCCTCAAGAAAATAGAATACCAAGATCTGGGCAAACAAGTAGAAAATCAACCAGGAATTGAACTTTTAGTATAGTTCTTCCTAAATCTTCCTACTGTCTTTACTGACCATACTCTTTGAATACTAATTCTAAGCTAGAAAGTGAACCTCTTTAAACTTCCTTTTTTCTCTCTTGTTCGATGAAGAAGTAGCTGTCTTTGCACTAGTCAGAGCTGTATTTTATTGTTCAATTATAGATTATTTATTGACTGTATTATTGGTTTTCTTGTTTCTTTCCACGTACTGAGGATCACATGAAAGTATCATCATATTAATCCATTTGAGATTTTAAAGATCTATAAACCTGCCTAGTTAATGTACTATGAGGCTTTTCCCTCTAACTTGGATATGAAGGATTTAACAGTAAAATTGCCCAGTAAATCTTTAATCTATTTTTGTGTCTTTTCAGAAAGCATGAGTTCTAGGAAATTTACTAATATTTAGTTACTTCTAAAATCTTTACCTTCATAATCAGAGAACAGTAAATGCCCATTAAAGTACAGTGGGTATATAACATAAAAACATTAGACACTGATTACATATGTTCTCTGCCCTATGAGATTCATAAATTCCAAAATGGGCATATGGCACACACACATATAAGTACCATACATGCATAGCTATGTGAGTGGTTCTGGGAAGTGGGAATGGCAAATTCTAATAAATTCACAATTATTATTAAGCTTGTTCTCTCCTATTTCACAGAAGAATAAAAGGAGAATCTGAAATTTTCTTTGAATTACAATCAGAAAAATATTAAACATTACATAATAGATTACATATCATTTTTCATTTTGTGAACTTCTAAAAGGCAAGAATATTTCACGGTATGAGTATGATCTAAGGAGAATACTGTGAAAGAGATGATTATATGTCTGGGGCTGTGTTCTTTTTTTTTTCCAGAAGCAATAAAAACAGTTAACAAAAAAAGCAGAAAAATGAAGCAAAATTACATATGTAAGTTACTGTTTGAGTATAATTAATAGTATAGTAAGTGCTCACATAAAGTTGTTGATAGCTTCTTGGAGACTGTGACATTAAGTAAAGTAAAGAACAAATAAAATCAATTTTAACACAGGCTAATTGATATAAACAAGAGTTAAATTCCTATGGCAATTTCTGGTGACAAAAACATCACCAAACTTCTAACTAAAGACCCAAAATGTTTTTAATATTAAACATTGAAATAAATGTGAGCTATACAAATGTAAGAAAAATTAATAAAAGCACGTAAGATATTGAATTAACAAATTTCTGGTGAGTCAGTGAATGACTGAGGTCATAGTGGGGATGGATCAAATCAAGGAATAAATGTTTGCAAAGTGAAAATTGTAAGGAGCACAACCTACCACCAAGCACTTCAAAAACAATAGCAATATGGCTGTGTTCACTGAGCATTTTCATACCAAATTGTTCTTGTACATTTGTGTGATTTTCGTATACTTGATGAATTTTTATTTTACAGTCATTTATATTCATTTATTCATTCCTTTTCCAACTCACTTATTCCAGTTCAAGGTCGAGGGTGGCTGGAGCCTATCTTGGCAGCTCAGGGTACAAGATGAGAACTAAGACTGGCCAAGACGTTATTCCCTTGCAGCACACACTCACACACACACCCACATTCACTCACACTGAGCCAATGTAGGCACGCCAATGAACCTAATGGGCACATTTTGGGGATGTGGGAGGAAACTGAAGTGTCCAGAGAAAACCCACACAGATATGAGGAGAATGTGCAAACTCCATACAGACAGTGGCCCTGGCCAGGGATTTTTTTTTTTCATCAACATTATTAAAAATGCTGTATTATTCAAGGGTCTGCTGTACTGACATTATCAAAAAGACTGGAAGGGAAGCTCATAGCCAAGAGCTTTTTCATCAAAATTAAATTAATTTAAACCTTCTTGGGTATTGTGTTTGATGTCAATAATTTTATTTACATCAAATACGGATAATTTAAGGTTTTAGTATTTCTGTGTCCTAGTGTCCATTTTATTTAAATTTAACTTGTGCCAAATTATACTATATTTTTCTTGAAGAGTATCTGAGGATGAAAGCAAACATTTACTAAAGCCCTAAAAAGAAATAGAGACTATCAAAATATCCTAGTCAAAGTTGTTTTTTTTTGAGACGGAGTCTCGCTCTGTCACCAGGCTTACTTCTGCCTCCAGTTCAAGTGATTCTCCTGCCTCAGCCCCCTGAGTAGCTGAGACTACAGGTGTGCGCCACCATGCCCAGCTAATTTTCGTATTTTTAGTGGACATGGGGTTTCACCATGTTGGGTCTTATCTCCTGAGCTCGTGATCTGCCTGCCTCAGCCTCCCAAACTGCTGGCATTACAGGCATGAGCCACCGCGCCTGACTCAAAGTATTATTTTTTTTAAAAAGCACTAATATCTAAATAAGAATATATCAAATAGAAACAAGTAATAACAATTGTATAATATGATCTTTAGTGTTAACATTAATATTACTAGAAGTATGATTCTAAGTATTGCCGTCTACAATATTTGGAAAAATTGAAATATTCTTACAGAATTAAGACACATCATCATGATGATGAATCTATCTGTGGGAATCCATTGTCAGTGATAGAACACCATGTAGAGTAAGGGAATTACCAGTCACACATTATGTAGCCATACTGGTAGAAATTTCTGAGAAAAAAACCTCATTTGATTTATGGCCTGATCTGACCTCACTAAATGACTAAGACCTCCGAAACATCTGCAAATGAATTTCCCAAAGGAAATAGGAGATATATCTATGGTTTGAGCAAATAGAAAGTTGATACATTTACTGACTACTTATAGAGAAAAATAACGTAATTCTCATTGAATATTTTATTTCAATTTCATTTCTATTTATGTGAAAATTTTGTTGTGTTTTACATTGTATGGGCTCTTATTCTCCCCTCATTTACACTCTTTGTAATTTTTATACACTTAAAAAAAATGTTGATTAAGTAGCTTTCAAAATAGACTCAGGCTTAGATATAAACTTTAAATATGCCATGAAACTTAAAATACATTGTTATACCATATAAAATAGAATAAAATAAGTAAGTAGCCTGTACAAATAAATTCCAGAAGTTTCTCCAACATCTACTCAATCTTAAATCACTTCAAAAGCAAATCAGATCAACATTTTTCCTAGTAAACATTTCACCTATTTCAAGAATAAATAATTCTTCATTAGAATATTTTGATTAAAACTCTGTTCCCTAGGAAAATGCCAACAGTAATAACGTCTCTTCTTTTTGTTCTCACATATGTAACAACAAAACAATGACTGCACGATCATAATTTGGAAATAGTTAAGTATCAGCAAGTTTCTGCCATCCATGGGGGAGGAATCAGAAAAATGAGCCTTACAATTTGGAGGGTTAGTACAAGGTATTTCTGTATTTCATTAGGATTTGGTTTCCTCCTGTAAGATCTTCTTTCTCTCTCTGTTCACATCTTTATGATTTTAAACATTAAACTTCCAAACTAGTCTACTTGTGTTTATTAGTGATCACTGTCTAAAGACACAACTGTATAGAGATAAAAACAATAATTTAGTTTTGCAAAGAAATATTACTATGTTCCTTTTTTCTTTCTTTACAAAACATTGATTTTGCTCTTACTTCTTTTTCAGCATCTTCCAGTTTCTTTTTCTTACTCTCGGGCATTAAATCATCCAACCAGCTGAGTTCCCGCTTCGTGAACAACAAGTCCATCAACTTTCTTACAAATACCAGGGCTAACACCTGAAGTAAATAACAAACTAGTTTAAAGTGGAAAAATAATTAAAGCAAGTGGTGTAGATTTGCCGGTATGGTTTCTGGTAGAAACAATTTCTATTAGGCCTGAGATTAAAGTAAAAATTAAAAAGATATATATGTATAAAACATTATCTAGTTTTCTGCTTCCTTCATTTTCTTTTCTTACTACATCCCCAAAATAATGACTATGATTTTACCCAATATGAGAGTCAATTAAATAAGCTATTTAAAAAATATATATAACATGAATTTGACTATGTTTCCTTAAATACATGTAGTTAATAGTTTATACTATGTTAAATTAACACTAGAACATTTTTATCTATATTAATAATTACAAAATTATTTAGTCATTCAAATTCACTATAGTTTTTGAAGTATTTGAAACTTGCCTGAAACATTTAATACAACGTTATTTTAAAAATCCTCCTAATTTTTCACATTTGCTAGTATCTTTAATGTTAAATTTTGGAAGGATGCATTTTTCCATCCAGCTTCAATTAATTCAGACAATCACAAACATTCAGAGTGATAGAGACAAAAATAAGAATCACTGAAATTCATAGGCATTCTCAAACCCTATCTTAGTCAATACTTTTAGTGCCAAAAGTTATATTTTCCAATAATTGTTCAAAATGACTCAGTTGTTCCAATTTCAGTTCATGTGTTTGTTTCCAAAGAGACCAGCAAATCAGAGAAAGAGAAAAAGAGTTGACAGAAGTTTCATACCATCATGGGAAAGACAATAGCAGCTCTTGAAACTTTTATTATCCACAAAAGGCCAAGGCAACTCATCTGAATAATCGTGAAGAGATGCACTTTTCGAAGTGGTACATGCCTTAGGTATATAAAATCTGGTTGATGTTTTGCAGGCATCCAGAAGAGCTTTATCCTATCAAAGAACTAAAAGATTAAACAGACTAAATTGTTTTTAGGTGTAAGACAACAATAAAAGTAGGACAAGTTGATGTTTAATATGGTTCAAAATTTTAGGTTAAATGACATACCTGGATAACACTAAGTTGATACCTGGGCATCAGGACAATGGGATTGTTACGCTTACCCTCTGAAACACTACAATTTCAGTTTAATAATAGCCCACATTTTCTTGAATATGGAGACGGGTTACAATTTAGAAGAGTTTAAAAATAGAAAGCCAATGTTAAATATAGCTACCTTGAAGAGTGGAGCCCTGTGAAGCAAAACATAACTACCATCTTCTTTTTCCTTGCCACATCACAAACTCTTCCTTTATTTGCCCCTCAATATTGGGATTCCTGGACTTGCATTCTCTGTCTTCTTTTCTCCTGGAATAGTTCATCCATACCCAAGGCTTTGACCTTCACATACTTGCTAATGATTCACAGACCTACATCTCTGTCTGAGCTCTCTCTTGGGTTCTAGACCCTTATCCAGCTGCTAAGTATGGTATTTTAACCTCCTTATTTTGACTCTGCTGTTTTGACTTCGCCCGCTTAATCCCCAACAAAAGTTTAGATACTGTCTTTATGAACACAAACATCTTAACCATAAAAATTTAACCTAAATAAATTTTTGTTAATAAAGTATGTTCCAGAGCAAATTTTGTTAACTCTATTTTTTCTTGATTAACTTTATATGCAGCACTGTCATTTGTATATTTTCAGTTGTATTTTATTAAAATAACTTTCATCTCAATCAATGTTATTTCTGTTTCAATCTTGCCATAAAGATAGTACATAGTATTACATAAAACTATTGTTATAGTACTGCATACTATTATGTTACAGCTTTGACTTTGAGGGCTTTTTTTTAATCAAGCAAACCAATTTTTCTCAATTTGAATTTTATAAATTAAATGCACACAGGAAGGTTAAATCTTCAATCACATTTTATTTATTAACAAATCATACTACATGATAGTTTTATTTTATGTAGATTGTTTGGTTTATTGTTCTTCGGCCAAGTTTTGCAGTTTTCAGTGTTTCCAACTAGAGGCGATTATTTAGAAAATAATGGTTTCAATCACTGTCAGTCACTGTTTTATTTCATGCCATCTCTACAGTAATATCTATTACTCATTTTCAAAAAGTAATATTAGATTTTATTTTTTAACTAATTTATTTTAAAAACTGTAGACAATTCTCATCAAATATGTCAAATTAATATGCAAAGGAACAGTTGTCCATTGACTTAAAATGTTAGAGTCAAAACACCCTGTTTTACCAGGACCTGCTTGTATATATAGTAAGAATCTCAAACTCAACATAAACCTATCTTCCCTTCTGTGTTCTGTGTCTTACGGCATGACACGGCCTTCCTTCCCTCAGTTATCTAAATAAGAATCGTACATACATTAGTTCAGTCCCCGACCATTCATTTATTCATATTCATTTATATATTCCAAAAACATTATTGAAACATTATATGCAGACTACTAAGTGTTGAACTCATTCCTGACTAATCTCTCTCCATTCTGTCCATGTATGTGTCATTAGGTTTTAAAATTTCTATTTCCTAAATATTATTTAAACTTAAAAGTCATTAAATAAACAAAAACTTGGTGCACGGTAGAGGTAGGAATAGGAAAGAAGTAAAATAAAATCTTCTGGCTTACAATGGAATATTTCCTTTTCTATAGAACTAGTTTTTCCCAGCCACCATTTCTCCATTTGTGAAACTATGTTATTGCATAAGTGTACTTCAGTGTGTGGGTGCTTCAATTGTTATTGTTTAAATGGCACATTTGCTTTACTTTGGATTCCTGAAGTGTTGGAATGAATATAGATGTGGGTATATATCTGAATACAGAAACAGCATTCATGAGAACACTGTGATCTGTTTTTTCTGCCATGTTTCACAGTGAGAAGCTCAGATAATAAGTTTCTTAATACTGCCAAACAAGCAGGTAACATAGATTCCTTCAATAGGGTAAGAGAGTAACATGCTCCTGGAACTGTTGATATTCAGTATATGTTTAAATAATAATCATCATCATGACAAATGTATTCTGAGTTTTACATTTGGTTTTTATTATATCCTAGAATCAATATCACATTTCCCTACCCAGTTAGCTACAATTCCAAATAGGAATTTCCACTTCCTGGGCTTGGGGTCACTTACATTTTCACAAACCCTGTTTCTCAGTGTGAGACCCTGTTCGTCAACGTGTGCCCCAGCTTGCTGTTTCATTTGTGTTCTTTAAAACTCATTATATTTAACTCATGGGCCTTTGATAATGTTTTCTTCAATTTTCATTTAAAAGATTCACATCCCAAATAACTCCAAAACTTGACATTCTTGTTTAATTCTAAACCTCATGGGTATAAAATCATGTGGAATTAGAGGGAAAAATCTGTTGAAACCTACCATCAAAATGATTTTACTTTGTTTCTTAAACTTCTGCTGCTGTATTTATGTGAGCCTGGGGCCTAATAATAAATACTTTTCACTTACAGATGAGATTAGTACTCATGGAACTTTTGCCAAAGGCAAAAAAAAAAAAAGGAAAAAAGAAAAACAAATATAACAAAACCTCTTCAGTATTCTTCTCTAATGCCTTACAAAACCAATTCTATCAAACTACACTTTCCATACATGAAATTTTAAATGAGCAAATTAAATCTAATTTGAGTAAAATTAAAACACATAACATGGCTCAACCATCTCCCTCTCCCAGTTAATTGTTTCCCAGTGTCAGGATGAAGAGTCAGTCATACTATCAATTTTGGGTGTTCCGTGACCTGCAATGACTTCATACTTAAGTTTGCCTCAGACTGGCACCCAGTACTGTCTTAAGGCCTAAGTGTTGCTGCTTCTTCCAAAGTCACAAGCTGGTTAGTTATTTGCTCAGGAACAGAGATTCTGCGCTGCCTGTCCTGCAGGTTAACTATCCTCTTACATGCTCTGAACAGCAGTGAGTCTAGCTGTGTCACAGAAAAAGCCGCAATTTATTTTTGCTTTTCAGTTGACAAAATACTATATGATAAATAAGCCTCTAGTCTCTTTTTCAAGAACATTGGAGCGTTGGGCTAAATAATGTTAAATTATAAAACAAGATTATTCAAGGGACAATTTAAGTAGAAATCTATTAGTTTGCTAGGACCGTCCTAAAAAATTACCACAACTTGGTGGCTTAAATCAATAGAAATATATTCTTTCACGCTTGTGGAGGCCAGAAGCCTAAAGCAAGATATTGGCAGGGCCACACTCCCTTTGAAGGTCTTAGGGGAGAAAACTTCCTTGCGCCTTCCAGCTCCAGGTGGCTCCTGGCACCCTTGATTAATGGCAGCAAAACTCTAATCTCTTTCTCCTTTTTTTTTTTTTTGTGAGACAGAGTCTCCCTCTGTCATCTAGGCTGGAGTGCAGTAGCATGCTGGGTTGAAGTGATTCTCCTATCTCAGCCTCCTGAGTAGTTGGGATTGCAGGCATGCGCCACCACACCCATATAATTTTTGTATTTTTAGTAGAGACTAGGTTTCGCTGTGTTGGTCAGGCTGGTCTCAAACTCCTGACCTCAGGTGATCCACCCACTTTGGCCTCCCAAAGTGCTGGGATTAGAAGTGTGAGCCAACTATGCCTGGCCTTCCTACATCTTCATACGGCCTTCTTCCCTGTGTCTCTCTGTGTCCTCTCCTCTTCTTCTTTTTTTTTTTTTTTTTTTTTTTTTTTTTTTTTTTTTTTTTTTTTGAGACAGAGTCTTGCTCTGTTGCTCAGGCTGGAATGCAGTGGTGTGATTTCCGTTCACTGCAACCTCCGCCTCCTGGGTTTAAGCAATTTTCCTGCTTCAGCCTCCCGAGTGGCTAGGACTATAGGCATCTGCCACCATGTCCAGCTAATTTTTATGTTTCCAGTAGAGATGGGGTTTCACCAGGTTGGCTAGGATGGTCTTGATCTCTTGACCTCATGATCCGCCCACCTTGGCTTCCCAAAGTGCTGGGATTACAGGCGTGAGCCACACCACACCCAACCCCTCTCCTCTTCTTATAAGGACCACAGTCATTAGATTTAGGGCCCACCCTAAAACCATGATTATCTTGTCTTCAAATCCGTATCTAATTACATAGGCAAATAGTCTATTTCCAAATAAGGTTACATTTTGAGATGCCAGGTGGACATAAATTTTCAGGAAACACTCACTATTCAACCAATAACAGTATCATAAAAGAAATATGTGGGAAGAATTTGCCTACAGCTTCTGTAAACATTTAGAATACACTTGTGGAGGTTCTAAAATGTGTCCACAAATTCTTTGATACTCTTCTCTTCAAGAGATAGAGTCTCCCTTTTCCCTTCACTTGGGTGCAAGCTGGACTTAGTGGATAGCCTCTAACAAATAAAAAACGTGGAAATGACCATGTATGACTTTGAAGACTAAATCAAAAAGCACTTTTCATCCTTTCTCTCTCATTCTCTTCTCCTTCTTTCTCCTCTCTCTCTTTCTCGCTCTCTCTCTCTCTCTCTTTCAAATTGCTCAGTCTGAAGGAGTTACATTCCATGTTTTGAAGACACACCAACTATTCCATGGAGAGGCTACTGTGGCAAAAGACTGAGTCATCGTACCAACAGGTAGAAAGGAACTGATGCCCTCATGCCCACAGTTGTGGAATAGACATTTTGGAAGCAGATCCTCCAGCACTATCAAACCTTCAGATGCTGTGGACCTTGTCCACACCCTGACAGTGACCACATGGGACATCTTGAACCAGAACCATCTGGCTGATCTGTTGCCAAATTCATGCCTAAAATATTTATTTAACCAATACTTACTTAAATAATGTACAAAGTTCCCCTTATACTTGAAACTGCCTATACCTTTATTTTAGTCTAATTTTAAAAATAATCCTACAAATATAACAGTAAAACAAACAAAACAAGGTGTAAAAACCCCAGGATATCACTATCTCAACAAATTGTTTTTATTTCTACACCTTCCTTTACAACCCATCTCAAACTTATGGCTTTATAAACCTATGGTCAGTAGTTTCTTACTGTGTATTATGTCGTAAGCATTTTTGCCATGTTACTTTTGTAGTTCCTAAAAGTACACTGGAACTTTAACTGATACAAAATTATCAATTTTCAGTGAATATACCATAGGTTACTTAATTATTTTATTGCTGTGAGAGAATTGGGTTGTTTCCAATATTATAACAGTATGTGTTAAAATGAACATCTTTGTACATAAAGATTTTTCCTATTCTTACCAATAGATGTCCATACACAAGATTAAAGTGTCAAATATTATAAATATTTGGATATGTATTGAAATATATTACTATGATTTTTCTAAATATGCTGTAAAACCTAAGCCTCTTACAGTTTTAATATACTTACGATAAATAAAATACCAGAAGTTTATGAACCTTAGATGCTGGAGAGTATCTTCTTTAACTTTTGTAACTCTTCAAACAAGTTTTGAAGAAAAACAAGTTTGAAGAAACTTAATTGTGGTCTAAAAGCTGTTCCTCAGGTGGCATCATTTTCTTAGCTGTCACATGACTTATCGGTAGATCTTAAGATAAGTCATCACAGATGTGCCTGTAGTACTGTAAGTAATTTACCTGAATTCCCTTTAGAGATGAAGCACCCATATAAAGAAACACTCCATATAGCACTGGCATGGGAATAAACTGTAAAAGAACAATTGGAGAAAAGGTACAAATCATTTTCAAATATACTGTGGTTTTGCATTTATCAAAGAAAAAAATGGAGAAAAAAGGCATTTTTGAGTAGAAACAGTATAGTACAGATTCAGAAGACATGGATGCAAGTTCCAGCTCTAGCAGTTTTTAGCTGTGTAACCTTAGGGAAGTTACTTAAGCTCTCTGTGCCTTAGTTTCCCAATATCTAAAACGAGATGATAACAATAGGGCTGTTATAATTATTTAATAAGTCAAAATCTATTTTTAAAAACCATGTAGTATATAATGAACAATAATATTATTATGCCACTTTAGAGACAATTTGAATTTTGTTTTACAAAGATAAGATATTTGGATTAAAGGTAAAGAAGGAAGCTAACATTTAGATGTGTTTCCTGCATTATGCCAGGTATTTGTAAATATATGGATTACTCAGATTTTCTCTTTTTATTGGAATAGTTCACCATCATCTTATGTCTATAAGATAATTACTTACATAACACAATTACTTACATAATTCTTGCAAAGGTACTTGTGTTAATGATCAAATACTAGTAAACGATTAAATAATTTAATTAAAATGTCAAATTATTGGCAAATAAAATGTGTTGTAATTTATAGCACAATTAACACACCTTGGAAATATCTGACAAAATTACATGACAAAATAATTACTAGTTAATCCCCTTTAAAATAGATTTCAAGTTTTCTGTGGAAAAAATATCAGTATATGCAAAGATGATGTCCAGAGAGTGGTTTCATAGAGCACTTAAAATGGAGCAGGCTCATTCCTTCACCTCTGTATTTTATTAATAGTAAGTAATATTAACTGCTAATATATTTATCCATTGACAAGAAAATAGAATCTTTATGAATGCCTGTAATGAATTCAGGTCACAAGTCAGTCAGAAACAATGAGTGACTTTTTCCCATAGCTTGATCACCATTTCAAAATTGTTACAATAATTTACTCATCAAATTTTACTTTGCCAGACTAAATTTTTATGTATTTAACGGTTTTAAAATATAGGACATAATTTTCCTCCCTTAGGTTATGAAGAATTATATAAACATGGTTAAGAAATTCATCACTTTCATCACATGCCACACAATATTTGCAAATTTATGGCTCAGATTCAAATGAAAATATTAAATTATGATAAATATATTCTTCTTTCTCTCAAGTTCATAAAGACAGATTTCGTTACCTTCAGAATACTGGTCATAAAGACTGATGAACCCATAAGAATAAAAATCATAAGCCCTGTAACCCTTTGCTCCCGAATGCCGAGAAATTTGGGTTGTTCTCCTGGAGCTGAACATTCTGATTCCAGTTTTAGGCTATTGACATGAGTGATGGAGAGGACTGTGGCAGCCACAAACCATGGCAGGCCCATGATGGAGCATACACCGAGCATGACAGCCACCATTAATAGGTCCAGATGGTACCCACAACCTTTCTGTTTAAAAAAGAAAGAAAGAGAGAAAGAAACTGTGTCAACAACAGGGCTAAGGATGGCCTGATTGCGAATAGAAACCACTTCCTGATCATACTCAACAAGCCCTTCATATCAGATCTCCTGGAGTAAACTCTTAAACAAACATTCAGTTTCCAATTGCCCTCTTTTGTCTCATTGGGTGACTTTTATTAGAAAAAAATAATATCATGGAGCCTAAGCTCCCCTGTATAGTCATTTTTTTCCTTAATATAGTGCTATCTTGTTCTAAATTGTTTAAGTTTCAACACTAGACAAATTAAGCCCCACCTTAGAAATCACAGTTTTTTGTTTTCTATTTCCTCTGTTATGCTACTCCACTGTCAATAACCTCCAGGTGTTGCAAACTAAGTGCTTCCTAGGCCCAGGTAGGAAACGTAAAGGAGGAAAAATAGGTGCAGTGGGGTGTGTGGAAACTGCCCTCTTGCACAGACAGGGTGCTCTCGGAAGAGGGAAATCAAAGATAGGGAAGAGCACTCCCTCCATACCCTGTAGGAACCAAAAGTGTAGAGCCACAGAAGCAGCCAAAGGTTTGGCCTACTTTATGTTCCACCTTTCCTTTTTAATTTTTAGTGACTGCTTCATGAGAGGCAGTATAATAAAGTGGTTAAGAATATAAGTTCTGGAGTCAGACTGCCTGGAATGAAATGCTAGCTCAACCAATAAATCACTTAAGCTCTTGTGTCTCTTTTTCCCTATCTGAAAAATGATGATGATGATGACAGTAGAAGGCACCTCACTGGACCGTTGTGATAACTAAATTAGTTAATGTTGTAAATAATTTAGAATAATATCTGTTGAATAGAAAGCGACCAGAAAATGTTAGGTACTATTATATCCTAATGGTTAAGCAATAAATGTTTCTTTTGTACTCATTAGGTTTCAAGGCTGCTTAATAAAACTATTAATATGTTTCTTAAGAGCAGATAACTTATATAACTTCTCAGTATTTCCTCTTGTTTTTAGCACAATCATTGGCACACAATAAGCAATCAATAAAAGTTACAAATTGACTTTTTTGAAAATAAAATATGCATCAAACTTTTCAGAATCAAATTTAGTAAGTGTAATTTTAAAATAAATACAGCAGTTAAATTTGTTATTATGATCATGAGCAGAAATTACCAATTCTTCTAGGAGAATAATAGTCTGATTTTTAGCGGTAGTTTTATATAACTTCAAGCAGTTTGCAGTTAATATGAAAGCTCTTATAGCCTGGAGTGTGAAACACACTGTTGCATATTTGTCATGGTAGTCTTTCTCTGTGATTTTGTTTTCTTAGTAACAAGATTCTTAAACTCAGTTGTACTTTCTTTCCTTTCTCCTCATCCCTTCCAAATTATAAAAGTGCAAGAGATGATAGTGAGGAGAAAATGAGAGTTATGTACCTAAAGACCTGTTCCTCCTATGTTGGCACCAAAGCAGTGGTACCCTTCATTGGCTCAGCTTACTGGGGCAATGCTACAATTCACCAAAATGTCTAACTCAATTTCCTGAATGAATATGACTCTGGAAACTTTTCTTTGCAAGTAACTCAAGAAAGAATTTGATTAGTAAGAGCTGAAGAGTAGGAAGAGAAACTGCCTGGTGTCCGCATAATCAAAAAAGCATAGGAAAAAGCTTTGCCAGGACTGTAATATTGTACCTTGGCCTTTTGTAAAACATTTTGGAAGGTGTAATTCCATAGAATAGAACTCAGATTTTGGTCCCTTTAAAGGACAACGTCTTAAGCAGCTTGAGAAGTGTTTTGTCCTAGCAACTCTGGAGGGAGAAGGATGTAGAACAGTGAAGGACCTCATACTTAAGCCTCTGCCTCTAAGGGAGTACAATGTGAATGCTGCTCCCTTGGAGTTGTTTTGCAAAATTGTGGTACTGCTAAGAGAAAACGAAAGATGTAAGAGGAGCTAATGGCTGTGAGATGAACATCAGAGGAGGGCAGAAGACAGGGGGCCTTGAGAGTCAGGCTTGTACTTTTTAGCACACCTGGACTTTCTCAGAGTCCACATTCACTACAGCTCAATAATATGAGGGAGACCTTCGTCATGATAGTGATTTCCAATAGCTCTTATTGAATGTTTAAAAAATATGATACAAATGTAAACAGTGGGATTCTGAATTGCAGGAAGTGGGCAAAATAATTCTTTCAGAGGAAATAATTTCTTTTCTCAATTCATAAAGCTAGCTTTGTAATGTATAAATATATAACAAAAACAAAAATATAATTTCCCCTAATTATGCTGTACAACAATGGGAGCATCTTGATTCAATGTAAACCAAAGGAAATAAATAAAGCACTTCTTGCTCTTCCCCTAACTAACCAGTATCCTTCTTGCCTTTCATTTAAAATGTCTTTAAAAACTTGGACTTTGTAACAAAATTATTAGCTGATAGGCATGCCAGCCAAAGAGAAGTACCCCTTTGTCAGAGAGAGAACTCTACACCTTCTAACATATTTCTGTAGATTTTTTTCTCAAATAAAGACAGAGCTAGAGCTTTTATTCTCACATTCATCCATGAATCACAGGAAATGGACATATGGGAGGAAAAGGGAGCATAGCAACAGGTGATGCTACACCAGACCCCACTAAAACCAACATGCAGCAAGACAAGAGGCCAGCCAAGAGGACCATCTGATACCCAGATGCCACTGCTGAAAAAATTCATTTCAAAGCTTGGCAGCAATTTCCTGCATCTGTCAAGTTAACCACATAAAAGACTATAGATTGACATGAAGAACCAGGCTGACAAAGAGGGCAAAAAAGAACATATCAAATGCCATAATCATCAAGAGAATATGGTGCCAAATGAATGTTGCAAATGCATTCATTTACTCAAGTGATCCGGGATTGTATTGCTGTTTATTAAAAATGATGTCAAAAGAAGCCTGAACTGTCTACAGAAACATGTAGAAAAGCCCACAGTTGTATCTTAACAGAAACTTTCTTTTTTATAAGATTATATCTCTCTTTTCACATTTAGAGAATGTGCTTTAAAAAACCCAAGTAGATATTTTTAATGCTTTTCAAAGGGATTCAGTTAACTTATGCCTAATCCACTTCTCCAAGGGAGAAACAAACAAACAAACAAACAAACAAACAAATGCTAGAGAGAGTATGGATTTATATGTACATTTATGTATAATATACATGATACTTCACATTCTCAAATTTTTATATTTGCCTCCTCTTTCACTCTGGAGCCATCCGAAGGATAACAGAATGCAATGAGTTCGAGTTTTACTAATTTTGAGCTCCCGCATTCTTTGGGAGTAGTAAGTCACCAACACAGTGCAACACAGCTTTATTGTGTACATAGTGACACTCATGAAATGATAAAAACAGTTTTTTTTTTTTTTGAGACAGAGTCTCACCCTGTCGCCCAGGCTGGAGTGCAATGGTGCAGTCTCAACTCACTGCAACCTCTGTCTCCTGGATTCAAATGATTCTCCTGCCTCAGCCTCCCGAGTAGCTGGGATTACAGGTGCCCACCACCACGCCCAGCTAATGTTTGTATTTTTAGTAGATATGGGGTTTCACTATGTTGGCCAGGCTGGTCTCTAACTCCTGACCTCGTGATCTGCCTGCCTCGACCTCCCAAAGTGCTGAGATTACGGCGTGAACCACTGTGCCTGGCCAATAAAAACATTTTTATCAGCATGAGAAATATCGTCTGAAAGAAAACCAGCTACTAGTTCTGGCAATAGAGGTGAAGAAAAAGTAAAAAGATCTAAAATATGTTTGGGAGAGATAAAGAATGAAAAGAGGAATTCTGAGTTGATTTGGGTGTATGTAGACTTAGATACATGATGTGGAGTCTACCAAGTGTTTGATACACAAACTACAAAACATGATTCATTAAACAATTTCGGGGAATGCTCCAACTAAGGCAAAAATGGGTTTCTCAAAGTGAGAAAAGAAAATTAGTAAAAGCTGAAAATGCTTTCACAAGTGGTTAGCTTGTGGTCTGGTGATATACTCAAGAAACACATCTTTTAGTGAAAATGTGGTTCAAGTCAAAGCCAGGAGACTGCAAACATTTCAGTGAAGCGGGGAGAAGTACTATGGAACAAACCGTTACTCTGAGTAAATAACATTCTGAGAAGGTGATTTTGTTGTTGTTAACGGGAAACCCAGTAGCATCAGACCACACTCTACAGAAGCTTAAGGAGATAAGAGTTGTAGGCCCAATAGGGATTCAATGTAGACAAAATACATCTTCACTGGAAGAAATTTGCTTTTAAAGTATTCATATCTAAGGAGGAGGATGGAGAGTTCCGATTCGCAGTGACCAAGAACGGGCTGACTCTTCTGCCTGTGGCCATATAGCAGAGTTTATGATTAGCCAGATTTGCTATATCACTTACTAAATCCAGAGTAGTAAGGGGCAAAAATATGAAACTTTTGACTACATAATCATTTCTTTGCACAATAAAACAGATTTAGTAATGTAGCCTTAGGTTTATTTCAGTGACAAAAATAGTTCTAGTTCTGCATTTAATTCTATAAATGCAAGTACTTGAGAGGACCACTTGAAGAATGCTTTATTACATTTTTGTTATTCCACAGTGTATGTGAAGGGGGAAATTAGTGTATTTGTCAATGTGGAGCTTTGGAAAGGCTGTGAATGTCAAGGGCTCATGAAGAACATTGAGTAAGAGCAAGTGCCATGTGATTTATAAGGTTGAGGGCCCAGGAAAGGGCAAAGATTCAGAATGGCCAGGAAGGTAATAACAATCTCAGCACACATTTCACTTCCACACTTTGTTTTAATATGATTCCACTTACAACAAGAAAAAAATTCTGCCTGAATCCATTTAACTGATGACCCTTACAAAGGATAATTTTTTCAGTGGACTCACTAGAATTTCTGCCTAATTATGAAGGCTAAAAAAATCTTTTTTGAAAGGTAAATAATAATTATATGGCTTGCTTTCTTCCTAAAACAGTTTTTTAGTTGATTTTTTAAAATGTGTCATTTAATAAAATACATAAAGTTGTGAGAATTCTGAAGTTACATTCTGCAAAGAGAATGAAGAATGTCCTTTGCTTTCAGACACACATTCTCTCCATCATATACTCAAAATTCCTTCTTCATAAGATTTATTGCAAATAAGTGTGCTTTCTTACATTTATGTTATTATTGTTATTAAAAGCAATGGCAAAAACCACAATTACTTTTGCACTAACGTAATATATTGCATCAGAGTTTAATCAGAGATTTTTTTCATCTTTCTAACATTCTTACAAAAGAAATCCTATAAAGCATGATTTCTTTATAGAAATCTGACAATGATTTTTTTCTCCTAGAGTTTAAAGGGTATGTGAAAATAGCTGGCAATTTCTCCATGATACCAAAACAAAAACAAGATTATGCATGTTCTGTTTTTACAAGGTTTGATGCAGATTATTTTTAACCATTTAATGATTTCATTGACTTTATTTAACATATTCCTGAAAGTAAGTGATAGTGCTTACATTACAAATCTCAGGCAAATTGCATACCAGTGAACAATTTTGATTATTCACAACTGCAAAATGGCAAGGTCAGAATGTAACCAAGACACATCTATATTTACTTATTCTTTTTATAAAAGAGACAGTGAAATCTGCAATAAAACTCAAAGATGTCACTTCCAAACTGTGACGTTTATGTCTGGATTTTGTTGTTATAGGCAGAAAGAAAAATAATTAAAGAAAATAAGAAATAGTTGAAGTTGTAATTTATTCTGATAATGAATTAAATGTAATAGATACACTTAGGGTTAAATAGAGGAATAGAGGAATCTCAGATGTAAGACAAGTTGGTATGGTTGTACTTCACCAGAACAGATTGTTATTTCACTAAAATATGCTAAATATGGTAAAGTTAGAACTTTGACAATGTTTTTTTATTTTATGCCTTGGAGGTGAGTTCTCAGACTTGAGCTCAGCCAAGTGCTACAAATAAGTAAATTCTCAAAGCATTGTAAGACCAAGTATCTTGTAAGACAATAAAAATTATACATCTGAAAATGTTATTTTATATATTTCACTGTACAAATGAATAAGAATACAGGAGAAGTCAAATGAACATCAGTTAATATCAGTTAAGTCATAATGATTTACATTAAAATGAATGTTAAAATATACCTTTAGCTTATGCTCTTTTCTGTTGATGATGACAGCTGTAATCTGTTGGTCCATAAAAATTAGGATAGTACAAAGCAGAGCTGGAATTATAGCAGCTATTACTGTCCACCATGGGTTTGGACCTAAAGGTGTAACAAACCAGCCACGATCATCTCTGGTGGGCTGTATAAAGTAAAGGATGTGCATAGTTATGAACTGGATTAATGAATACTTGATCAAATTAAGTCTTACAGATGCTACCAGGAAAGCCCTAATTATAAACAGAGGAGCTGAGTGGGCTACAATAAGTAATAATAATATTCATAAAGCACTTAAAACCATTTTAAGTGCTTTAAATATTTTAACTCATTTTTTTTCTTCACAACACTCTAAAGATGACACAGAAAAGAAAATTGAGGCATAGAGAGATCCAGTAACTTGCCCAAGATCTCAAAGCTAGTACGTGGTAGAGATGGGATTTAAACTCTGACAGACTTGTTGAAAAATCTGTGTTCTTAATCAATACCTGTATTAAATAAAATAATATCAATATTTACCATTAACTATTGGAAAATGTATTGAAATTTACAAATAGCACATTGACACATAGAACGCTGTGCTAGAACTGAGATACAAAGATAAATCAGAGGCTTCTTTCAGTTTAGAATCAGAGACAGACATCTAAACAGAATACATCATTATGGTATTGTAACTGTTATTTTTGATGTGCAGAGGCTATTGAGTGAAAATGGAAAAAAAGATACTTGGTCAGAGCAGAGGCTCAGGGAAGGGTTCCAAACATGACTGCTGTCTGAGATGATTCTCAAAATTTCATCTGACAAGAGTCCTATATAGAAGTCCCCAGCCCTGTTTGACAGAGAAAACAAAGGGGCACTCCTAATCTGAAAAGCTGAAATCTGAAATGATCCAAAATCTGAAACTTTTGAGCACTCACGTGATGCCACAAGTGGAAAATTCACACCTCATTTCATGTGATAGGTCACATATGTTATTAAGAATAGTGTATAAAATTACTTTCAGGTTATATGTATAAGGTATATAGGAAACAAAAATAAATTTTGTGTTTAGACTTGGGTCCCACCCCCAACATACCTCATTATGTGTTTGCAAATATTTCAAAATTTGAAAAAAAAAAAAAAAAGAACTCTGAAACACTTCTCATCCCAAGCACTTTGGATAAGAAATGTTCAAACTGTACCTCATTAGTAACACGGTCAGAATTCTATTTCCAATCTATTTTTATCTGTTTTTCAAGTCTTGTTCACTGTACAATTCTGCCAAGATAATCCTTTTCTCTTAGTTTTAAATGCTTCCTTATCTTTTAAGAATGTTATATATATATATTTCAACTGTCAGAATTGACAGGAAATTTTTTCGAGCAATTTTTATATTTATAATTATTTATATTTTGTAATTCTTATTTTTTTAAACATTAGACCCCAATTTTAGCCATGCTGTGTGCATTTCATTTACTGCTCTTCTAATCTAAATTCTTTATATTTTCATGAAAATCCTAAGTACTAGGGTTATAGGTATCATCTAAATGAAGATTAGACCGAGAGAGATGGGGAGAGGGAGAGAGATAGTAAGTGCTATGATAAATTCACCTTGAAAACACTTGGTACTTGTAGTTTTGGAGATGGGATCCCAATGGCATAGTCAATTAAAACCATACACAGAATTGTAAGAAAGACAGCAAAGTCACTCACTATGGATCGAACCTAAAAATAATGAAAACACTTGTCACTTAAAGTAGCTATAAATATCAAGGAATACTCAGGAACATAATCTAGAGTCACACTTTATAAACACTTTATGACATAATATCATAATATTATATTTTATGCATACTATAAGATTACCATTAGCTCTGTCAGAACCTGAATATATATTTATGTATCACTGTCGTTAAGATTGGTACACACTCAACCTTTCCAGAATGAGGCATTATGGAATAGCTACATCGTGGTTGAGTTGTTTTCAATGTTTATTTAAAATCTAACTTTATGATGAACCCATGCATGTGAATATTCAGAACACAGAATAAGGTAGCATGGGCAGAATTTGGTGGATTTTAGGGATCTCTTTCACACAGGTAACATTTTAATATGATAAACTTGAAGCATCATAAAATAAAATTATCTGTTTTTATCAAAGAAACATAATGTTTTAGTTTATCTAGAATATAAGCATGACAGTTGGGAATGTACACAACAGAGTGGGCAAATTTAAAATTTATTCTATGTGAGCCAATTTTTAAAGCCATTTCTCATTTATAAAGCCAATTCTGAGCAAATATTCACATACAATTATTATCCAGATCTAGTCTATTTTAAGATGCCTTTATGACATACACACAAGCATACACAAAATGCTTAAGATTATTGTTTCAGCTCATAAAAATGTTTTTGTATTAATCAGAGTAAGTTTTTTTGGGGAAATAAATGAATCTTCCACTTTAGGGAAGAAAGTGGTGACAAAAAAGAAGCTCCTTTCGGAAGGAACAGTTCTTGAAATATTTTCCCAGAGTGGAATTTTGATCATAATCTATATCTCATCCCTAAGAAGCTTGTTTCCTTGTTTCTTTTCCTTTTTTTTAATTTTTTTTTGGCGGAATCAGACATTATAGGTGTTACTTTGCAGTGTTAAATATTGAACTAAGCTGTTTCTCTGTTTACTTTCCTTTCCAAATATGCAGATGCAAACGTAGTGGGTTAGGGGGAGGGACTGACGGTTTAAACACTGAAAAAGAGAATATTGTTCCAATGAGACTTGCGGGGGCTTCCCCAATTAGAGAATGTAATATAGGCTCCTCTGAGGTATCTGTCAGGCTGGAATAGTTCCCACTGTTCACTGGGCAAAAAAGTGACAATCAGTAATGCAGTGTGTGCTGTGAATTTCCAAAAACGTCAGTAGGAAAGTAGGAGTTGATCCGCGGGGTTTGCAGTTAGGAGAGAAGCCTGCATATGCACTCCCAGCACCTGCATCACAAAATTCTTTCTCTTCAGCCCCTTATCTCACCCCACAACTAACCTGGCAGCTCACTCACACAAAAGCCTTTCAGTGGCTCCCTTTATTACACCAATTACTCTTTCTTTTGTCCTATGTTATTTTACACTTAGATCAAGAAAATTATAGTCTAAGTACCTTGGTTGGAAAATATCTGCTAGTCTTGAACTGCTTCAGGGTGGCTGACAGAGTAACTGTGGAAAAGAACAGGATCACCGACCAAAATAGAACATCTGGAACATATGGGTGATCATGGCCACAGGCCCGTCCAACATACTCTCCATGCAATGATTTGCATTCCTGCCAGAGGAAGTAAAACAAATGGAGCTACTAAGAAAAAACCAGACACATTTCTTGCAGAAAACTAACACCTTCTGATCAATTGTAGTTCAGATGCTGAGGCTTTTCCTTTATGGCTCTCGCAGTGATTTAACAGGCATTACATTACGACTTTCAAGTTCAACTTGGATGGGTGGTAAGAAATATCAAAGGTTTATGAAAAATTTGAACATGAACCACTTTTTAAATTTAAATGTACAAAACTAATTCATTTACCAATTAATTAATGTGCATTAAATCTAATACCTACTAAGTTCCTAACACCAGATGTATTGAAAATATGACATACGTAATAGTGATTGGTTACTAAGGTCAGACACTATGCCCAGCTATTTAAATACATCATTTAAATTACTTTTCACAACAACCCCATAAAATAGGTTCATGTTATTATTTATATTCCATGTCTGAGGAAACTGAGGCATAGAGGGGTTAAATAATTTGTTGTGGCCTCACTACTGGTGGGCAGCCGCAGAGCCGTGATACAAACACGACTTCTGCAGTGAGATTATTATTGCTTATTGACGGACAACAATGTTTTGTAGAATTATCTAGTTCAAAAGCTGCCAAGAAAGATGAGAAAGGCAACAAGAAAACTATGACATACAATGACTGAAATGAAATTGTAAGTCAAAGATGGGACTATCGAACTTGGATTAAAGAACAAATGAGATAAAATTACTACATGAGCAAGGCAAAGCTCATATTTACTATGACTTCTCCATGGGTTATTTTTTCTTCTGCAACTGTAGTTCTGTAAGAGCCTGAAGAATTATTTCTAATTACTGCCTTAGCCATGAGGTGGCAGCAAAGTCAAAAAAATTTTTTTTCTCCAGGAAAAACAGCATTTCAAACAAATATTTTGAAAGAAAAAAAATTATTTTAAACTTACTTTGGTTTATCTTTTTAAAAATTAGATTACTAAAGTATTTTTACATTTCAAAACAGGAAATAATGGTTTAAACGATCCAATGATCTCATTAGTCCTTGAGATATTCTTGCCCTGAACATAAATTGAATTGCAGAGAGATCTTGGAGAAAAATATGAACTCATAGATTGACCACAAACACAGAGTCTGCCTAACTTCAGGCCTGAAATCCTTGTAGAGCAAAAAGTAAATACATTCCAAAGATTGTAGAATAAATCACAAATAGCTACCCTATCATCTGAAAACAAACAACTAGTAAAATCTACTTGGAGTTGCTAGTTACCCTAAGCCTGAGAGTCTTGAGAAATATAGTTAATATACCTTATCATTGTCTTAAAGAATCTGTCCCCTTTTCTAATTTAACTGCAAACATCTTCCTTGATAGGCAAAGTTAAATTCCAATTATTCATGTTAAGCTAATGCAGAGCACAGCAACTTGGCTAATTGAAAAACCACAGAAAAATCCCCCAGGCCTTAATTAAAGTTTTAATTTTCCTTCTTTCAAAATGCCGTAAAAATAGATAAGGTGGCAAAAATGAATCCTTGTGTTTTTCTTCCTCTTCTGCACCTGTCCAGAAATGCTAGCAGAGCAATTATTAAGCAATATAATGGGTAGCAAAATGGTTACATAGAAAAAGGAGCTAAAAGTTCCATGATAAACACATTATCTATAAATTTGTGAGCATCTTTTGTCATTTCTACAGGTATAAAAGTCATTTGGCGGGATCTTGTTCTCAATTCTTAAGAACATAGATGACATTTAAAGGATCCCTTAGCTGTCTTACACTCTATAATTTGCCAATGGCCTGCCTAGTTACATTAATTTAAAGCATATTTGAAAATGTTATTTATTTTCTCTTTGGGAGTAAACAAAATGCTAACTTTAAAAAAGAAAAATTGTGACCTGCTAAATTCAACATTTATTTTCAGTTTTATACGAATTGTATCCCCAACACACACACGGAGGCACACACACATGCACACATACATACATGCACACATACACACAGAGTAAGTCCTGAAATTTAGAAATGAAAACCAAATCCAAATCCTGCTCTCTTCTTTTGAGTCTAACATATGGTTTCAGTTACAATGGGTACTCAAAAAATGCTTGTTGACAAACTGATTTCTACTAATTACTCTTCAAACACATTCTAAGTTTCAGCAATTCTATAAGTTGGCAAAAATTAAGTTAGATAAAATAAGAAATTAAAGTTGGCATTAGTGTCCTGCCCCTTATATATGTACAAGCTAAATATGTAATTCAGGCAACAAAACACCAAACTCTGGTTAACTGCTTATGAATATTTTAAATCATGCCTAAGGATTTCTTATAAAGGCTGATTTTTGAGATCATATATATACACACTTAAGTACTCTAGCTTGCCATAAATATTTGCATTAAATAGTAAGATGAAACTGTTTCAAAACAGACATTAAGTACTTTTATCAAATGTTTAACACTTACTATGCATAGAGCAGTTTGGGAGAATCAAAGAAAGCTAAAGTTCTTTGCCCTTGCTGAGTTGGCAAGGTATAAATTATAATTCATGAGATATGTAAGAACTCAATGAAACATTACAGGACCTGCCAAATAAATAATATGTAAATTAAATGTAATATCACTATTTTAACAAAATTAGTTATAAAAGCCACTAGTTCAGTGCTTTATTAATAAAATATTTTTGATGACAGTATGAACATATTGAGGAAAAAGCATAAAAATTAGACAAAAATTTTAATGGTCTTTTTTTTTACTTAAACATTACAAGATTGTTTTCCTTATATAGTATTCCCTCTGGTGATAAAGACTGTTTCTGGTCAAGATTAGCAATTATCCATTGCAAAAACTGCTTTTAACTAATGAAAAATAATATAAAAATTTCTGCCTGAATGTTAGCACCTAGTACAAAACTTTTTAAAATGACAAAAAAAGAGAAAAAAACCAACAACCCCACAATGCTGTGTTTGCTTCAATTGTAAAATATTTTTCACTATTCTACTTGACCTTAAAACTTACGGTATCTAACTCACAGCTAGCCTGATAACTGTGCTGTATGTCTGCTTCTTAGAACTCTAAAAATTCAGAAGTTTCTAATACATAGAATGAATATTATTATTTAGTATTAAATTATTCACATAATACAAAATACATATAGAATAAACTATCATGTTATATAACTTAGAGATGGGATCATTTGGGTTTTCATATTGAAGAAGACATCAAGAGGCTCTGTAAACATAATATAGTCTACCAAAGAAAATGTAGACAGGAGACCCACTACTGATTTCATTAATCATGACCCCATGTCTAAATTCTGAATAACTATAGCATTTTTTTCTTGATCAGCTCATCAACTCTTTTATTGTTCAGTTAAAATGGCTCTTTGAGTGGAAGCAGCCTGGCAATGTTATTTTTCTAGGAAAAAATAGGTGGAATTGAATAAACGTTAACAATAACAAAACAAGAGTAACTGAAGGCTTATTCTACAGAATACAATTAGGGTAAGAATAGAAGTAGTAAAATATAGGCCAAGATAGAATTTTAAATAAAGAGTAAGTAATTTGATTTCAATTTTGAAAGCACATGTTCAATAGAGAAAATCAAGAAAATAGTCAATAGATCATATGCTCTTTACAAGAATCATGTTTAGAGTTTTATAATATCTGTACAACAAAAAAGATTTCTATGTTCCCTAACTGGACCATTTACTAAAATAGTATGCATTTGATCAAATGAACTAGAACTCATATAGTTTTTTGCTGATAGTCATAATAAAATTTGAGCCTATATGGGTAGGTAAAGTGGCAGAAAGTTTGAACCTGTAATGTTTATAACTGGGAAAAGTAGAAAAGAAAGTAGGGCTACTCAGATTTTAATACTTATTAAAAGCAGAATACATTTTCAAATTACAAGATTTTATTGAACCAGAAGTATAGAATGCAAATATTGATAGTTAAAGAGGCACAGAAGTTATAATAGATTCAGAAAACTAGAGAAACGCAGGTATGAAAAGAAAGAAATTACAAAGCAGAGAAACGCCAAAGGAAATAAGACAATGGCACAGGATTTAACTGTTATAGGTGAAAAATATGTTGCCATGCCCTTTCTTGAGTGGGAGATAACAACAAAATGGGAAAAAGAAATATCTTGTTGAGGGAGGTGCCAGAATTTTATGAAGAAAAGTGATATTTGTTCCTCCCAAAGAATTTAGTATTGACACTAGAATATTAGAAACATCCCCTTCCCCCAGCAGATCCGGAACAGCTGGAGCAGCATTACAGAGTAAAGTAAGAGCATTCTGAGTTCTCTACACAGAAGGCAGACTTAGTTCTGCCATATGGTTTCATTTAGGTCAACACCACTCATATTTAATGTGCTTTCAGTCCATCTCAGTCACATAATTCTGTATAAATGAGCTTTTTGAGCAATTCTGGTCTTCTACTAGAACAACCTTAATAATGAAAGATAACCCCAGTTTACTGATGAGCCTCTGAAATGATGAAATTAAAATTCAAACACAACTATTAGTTTTATAATATTATGCATTCAAGCAAATTTTACTGTAATGGCAATAATTGAGTCACAATGTCAACAAAAGCTCTTAGGTATGACTTAATTTTCAATGTTTTACTTACTGACACAGTTAGATTCTCCCATATTATGTCAGAGGCAGAAATATTAGATTCCCTCCATTCCTTCAATGTATCATTGCTGGGATTATGCGGTTCCACACAGTTACACCTGAAAAGGCAAAATAGTGTCTTTTGTGAAATAAGTAGCTTTTTGTGACTGTACCAAAGAATAATGTATAATGGCTCCATTTTCTCCAGTCACAGCATTCCTCTATTTGACAGACAAGTAGTTAGGTTATCCTAAACTACTCCACAACAGACTATTTTCAAAAATCAAGAAGGATGGACTGTTAGGATACTAGAGTACTCTACAGTGTTTCCTGGAGTGAGAGCTCCTTATGATACCCATTTGGCCCTAAATTATAAGTCAAATAGAAAAATGATAAATATCCAAATCTACTGTCACTATGTAGTTAATATTGTAAAATCATATCAATTAAAATTAAAGGGGATATTTAATTCATATTCTGAAGATCATTTATAACTGGCATATAATTCAAAATTAAGGTTGGCTGAAGGGAGAACTCTAGGTACCTGAGGATATATCAATGAGAAGAAGATATAGACAAAGATACCCACAAATTAATAGCCTTAGAAGTGAACTTTAATTTACAATTTGTTTTCCAAAAATTCATTTGTAAACTTGCTATTTGCCCTTCAGAAAGCACTTTTGTATAGAAGAATTTAATAAATGGTGGTTGGTCTCCCAGATTAACCCACATACACCACATAACTTGTAAGTTCATTGGACCATTCTTTTAGTGATATTAATTGTACTATAGAACTGAATTGCCATTTCTAAGGTTATTACTATAGAAAAATATCATATAGTTTCTACTTGGTCTGCCTAAGAAACAGTCTTCGGCCTTCTACATCAGGAACTTAGTCTGTTTCACTTTACCACCACTTATTCATTCTTTAAATAGTTATTGTCTATTACTGCAAAAAAACAAACAAACAAACAAACAAACAAACCTGAGTTGGGCAGTACAGACAGATATGGTTCTTGCTCTCACTAGGGAAATTGGAGGATTCCCCAGGGAGGCTCACTTGGAGACCCCAGAGAAACCTTAAAAACTGAGCTCCTGTCCATGACGGAACAGTAGGTCAGCCACACCCAGTTACACCCCCTACCTTGCTAACCACCAGTAGGCTTTCATTCCTAAGGGTTAAACAGAAACAAGCTCTTCTGAAAGACTTGCTCCATGGCTGATTTCAACCAACCATGTTACACTGCCCCTTGCTTTTTGTAGTTTCGACACAGCAACTGGCTAGCATTCCTTCCTGATAAGAGACCACTGAACATGGAGTGGTTCTGGCCAGTTTACGGAGACTGCATGCTGAGTCCCTTCATGTCCTCTGCTTCACCTTTTGACATATAGAGCTTAATTTTAGTACATTTAAATGTTGTTTCCACCACGAAGTGAACATGGGACATATGTAACAGACATGTTAGCTTACTACACGTGTGCCCCTTCATGAATATTCATAGCTCCTCCTATAGTCGGTTGAATATGTATGCTAAACCAATCCATTCAGTATGAATTCCTGTTTCATTTTTCCTCCTTCAAAGCACCTGCTTTTCAGTTTTAACCAGAGGCTCCATTTCCCACTTGCAGGTTGTGATACCCCCTTTTAGAAATAAAGCTCTCCTCCGTAGATTTTGCTACTTTTTCAGTAGACATTATAAGAAGAAAAAAAAATTAAACGTGGAATGATTTTGAGCCTCTGGTGAAATGTTGAAAAGGAGAATTCATTTGATTGTGAAGTTAGGAACATTGTTGTTTTCTTTCCTTCACTATGTATTTTTCGAGTTATTTTCTTAGTGGTTGCTCTAAGGCTTATCACATATATCCAGCTATTCTGTTCTAGATTGTTCTGTTGTTTTTTACAATGTCCTGGGACATAAATTGCTCTGGGGGTCTGCTCCAATTAAATTCCAGCCTGTTTGCTGCAGTAGCCTTTTGTTTTTTATTTTTAAAATATAGACAGGGTCTTGTTATGTTACCCAGCCTAATCTCAAACTTCTGCGCTCAAGTAATCCTCCCACCTCAGCCTCCCAAAGTGCTGGGATTACAGGTGTAAGCCACGGTGCCCTGCCTGCTGTGGTCAGTGCTTGAGGTTTGTTCTGACCCAGGAGGGTTCTTCTTAGCTATCTCTTTTCCTGATTCTCTCTCATACACTAGCTGATCTGGTTTAGCTTTTCTTTCATGAAGCTACCAACCTCCTCTTAATTGCTTTCCACCAGAACTTACATTATTTGTGAGAATACCTTTATCTTGAACTTCCCTTTACTCTGCTTCAAATAAAGTTAGTTCCTTTGCAAAGAGCTTCAGTGCTCCCACTGGGGAAAATCTCGGATGCATGGCTTCAGAACTAGGGATGGGGACAGCATTGTGTTCCTCTGTAAGTGACTCCCCTGCTTTAGGAGCAGGGAGCTGAGCATGGGCAATAATCAGAGCCTCATTAATAATTGAGAACCCATACTATTCTCAGTGTCCCAGGCCTGAGGTTGAACCGCCACCCTACGGGTAGGAGCTGGGTGAGAGAGGAAGCCCCAATCTCTTGGATTCATCTAGCCAGAATTTAGCTTCTGGAGGGGAAGGGTGAAGAGAGACAAGAAATGCTGTCAGCCTTCTCCTGTTGGGAACATACAGTTGGCCTCAACTGGAAGCTGAGGAAGCCCTGTGTTCTTGGCCAAACTTGCCCAGAGTTAAGCTTCTGTCATGCTGAGCTGGGAGGAGAGGAAGGGAAGTGGGTTGTGACTCAAGTGCCTCGGACTCATTGTTCTTACCAAGATTTAGTACACTTTTTGGAATAAACATTTCTTCATTTGCCGTATACCCTTAAGAAAATTTCCAGACTTTTCATGATTGCCTTTTAAAATTACTTTAACCAGTACAGTTGTTTCACTGGGGAAAGGGTCTGCCGAGCTTGTTATACCACCATTCTGGAAGTATATACTCATAACATTATTTGTAAAGTGCTACAAAAGTCATGACACTGGAGCCACGGAGAGGGAAGCACTGCACATTACTTGGTTCTACAGTAAATAATACCTACATAATTATAATTACATAAAGATTTCTACATTTTTAAATTTTTTAGAATCACTCTTTAGGCAAATTACTTAACACTTACCCATGGCTACAAAATAACATATGTTAATAGCCATTACAATAGAGCTGGGGGTGGGGATGTAGAAGGCGAAGAGAATATTGGGAGGAAAAGTGAGAATTATTCATCTCCTCTTACAAAGTAGAATGTAAAGAGAGTTACCTATGGCTGATAGAATCAGAAATGGAAATCTACATATGTTATTTGTGGCTATTTACTTATAGCTACAGAGGTTACAGGGATGATGGAACTTAAGATGTGATATTATTATATTGAAAAGGGAGGTAGAGTGAAGAGGCAGGCTGGGGATGAGTGTAGAAAATTAGCTAAATCCGGTCAGGTGCAGTGGCTCGAGCCTGTAATCTCAGCACTTTGGGAGGCAGAGGCAGGCGGATCACAAGGTCAAGAGATAGAGACCATCCTGGCCAACATGGTGAAATCCTGTCTCTACTAAAAATACAAAAATTAATGGAGTGTGGTGGCAAGCGCCTGTACTCCCAGCTACTCAGGAGGCTGAGGCGGGAGAAGCACTTGAACGCAAGAGGCAGAGGTTGCAGTGAGCAGAGACTGCGCCACTGCATACTCTCCCTGGCGACAGAGCGAGACCGGTCTTAAAATAAAATAAAATAAAATAAAATAAAATAAAATAAAATAAAACAAAACAAAATAAAAATTAGCTAAATCCATATTTATAAGAGCAAAAAGTAAATTTGTCACACTTAACATTGGTAAAACAAGAAATAAAAATATAAGCATATTATTTAGAAATTTAGAGGCATCACTAAAAATAATTTTTAAAAAAACTTTATTAAAAATGTTGCCTTTGAGTGAACTGGTGCTTTTAATTATAATCTTCCTGTACTATTTGTGGGGGTTTTTTCCCCCAGGATGTGTATGGACTATTTTGATAACAATAAAATGTACTTGAAAAAAATAATTAGTTCTTCTTGTGTCAGCTCTAAGTTTGTTTTCTCATTTCAGAGTGTACAAATTATCTCAAAATCTCTCTTATATTTGCTTTGTCTCTTTTTTTCTCTTCTAAAAGTTTGAAAGGTTTGCAATCATGGGAAAGCCAGTTGAATATTTCTTTTGTACATACCATGCCCTCCTCAATGAGAATTATATGCCCAAGATATTTGGATTATTTTCAACAGCAGAAGGCAGCCTAGCATGTTATAGGTTATAGATTATTATTATCGATAATAATATAAATTATGTATTAATTCTTATATTTATTATATAATAAATATAAGAATTAATACATAATTTATATTATTATCGATAATAATAATCTATAACCTATAACATGCTAGGCTGCCTTCTGCTGTTGAAAATAATCCAAATATCTTGGGCATATAATTCTCATTGAGGAGGGCATGGTATGTACAAAAGAAATATTCAACTGGCTTTCCCATGATTGCAAACCTTTCAAACTTTTAGAAGAGAAAAAAAGAGACAAAGCAAATATAAGAGAGATTTTGAGATAATTTGTACACTCTGAAATGAGAAAACAAACTTAGAGCTGACACAAGAAGAACTAATTATTTTTTTCAAGTACATTTTATTGTTATCAAAATAGTCCATACACATCCTGGGGGAAAAAACCCCCACAAATAGTACAGGAAGATTATAATTAAAAGCACCAGTTCACTCAAAGGCAACATTTTTAATAAAGTTTTTTTAAAAATTATTTTTAGTGATGCCTCTAAATTTCTAAATAATATGCTTATATTTTTATTTCTTGTTTTACCAATGTTAAGTGTGACAAATTTACTTTTTGCTCTTATAAATATGGATTTAGCTAATTTTTATTTTGTTTTGTTTTATTTTATTTTATTTTATTTTATTTTATTTTATTTTATTTTAAGACCGGTCTCGCTCTGTCGCCAGGGAGAGTATGCAGTGGCGCAGTCTCTGCTCACTGCAACCTCTGCCTCTTGCGTTCAAGTGCTTCTCCCGCCTCAGCCTCCTGAGTAGCTGGGAGTACAGGCGCTTGCCACCACACTCCATTAATTTTTGTATTTTTAGTAGAGACAGGATTTCACCATGTTGGCCAGGATGGTCTCTATCTCTTGACCTTGTGATCCGCCTGCCTCTGCCTCCCAAAGTGCTGAGATTACAGGCTCGAGCCACTGCACCTGACCGGATTTAGCTAATTTTCTACACTCATCCCCAGCCTGCCTCTTCACTCTACCTCCCTTTTCAATATAATAATATCACATCTTAAGTTCCATCATCCCTGTAACCTCTGTAGCTATAAGTAAATAGCCACAAATAACATATGTAGATTTCCATTTCTGATTCTATCAGCCATAGGTAACTCTCTTTACATTCTACTTTGTAAGAGGAGATGAATAATTCTCACTTTTCCTCCCAATATTCTCTTCGCCTTCTACATCCCCACCCCCAGCTCTATTGTAATGGCTATTAACATATGTTATTTTGTAGCCATGGGTAAGTGTTAAGTAATTTGCCTAAAGAGTGATTCTAAAAAATTTAAAAATGTAGAAATCTTTATGTAATTATAATTATGTAGGTATTATTTACTGTAGAACCAAGTAATGTGCAGTGCTTCCCTCTCCGTGGCTCCAGTGTCATGACTTTTGTAGCACTTTACAAATAATGTTATGAGTATATACTTCCAGAATGGTGGTATAACAAGCTCGGCAGACCCTTTCCCCAGTGAAACAACTGTACTGGTTAAAGTAATTTTAAAAGGCAATCATGAAAAGTCTGGAAATTTTCTTAAGGGTATACGGCAAATGAAGAAATGTTTATTCCAAAAAGTGTACTAAATCTTGGTAAGAACAATGAGTCCGAGGCACTTGAGTCACAACCCACTTCCCTTCCTCTCCTCCCAGCTCAGCATGACAGAAGCTTAACTCTGGGCAAGTTTGGCCAAGAACACAGGGCTTCCTCAGCTTCCAGTTGAGGCCAACTGTATGTTCCCAACAGGAGAAGGCTGACAGCATTTCTTGTCTCTCTTCACCCTTCCCCTCCAGAAGCTAAATTCTGGCTAGATGAATCCAAGAGATTGGGGCTTCCTCTCTCACCCAGCTCCTACCCGTAGGGTGGCGGTTCAACCTCAGGCCTGGGACACTGAGAATAGTATGGGTTCTCAATTATTAATGAGGCTCTGATTATTGCCCATGCTCAGCTCCCTGCTCCTAAAGCAGGGGAGTCACTTACAGAGGAACACAATGCTGTCCCCATCCCTAGTTCTGAAGCCATGCATCCGAGATTTTCCCCAGTGGGAGCACTGAAGCTCTTTGCAAAGGAACTAACTTTATTTGAAGCAGAGTAAAGGGAAGTTCAAGATAAAGGTATTCTCACAAATAATGTAAGTTCTGGTGGAAAGCAATTAAGAGGAGGTTGGTAGCTTCATGAAAGAAAAGCTAAACCAGATCAGCTAGTGTATGAGAGAGAATCAGGAAAAGAGATAGCTAAGAAGAACCCTCCTGGGTCAGAACAAACCTCAAGCACTGACCACAGCAGGCAGGGCACCGTGGCTTACACCTGTAATCCCAGCACTTTGGGAGGCTGAGGTGGGAGGATTACTTGAGCGCAGAAGTTTGAGATTAGGCTGGGTAACATAACAAGACCCTGTCTATATTTTAAAAATAAAAAACAAAAGGCTACTGCAGCAAACAGGCTGGAATTTAATTGGAGCAGACCCCCAGAGCAATTTATGTCCCAGGACATTGTAAAAAACAACAGAACAATCTAGAACAGAATAGCTGGATATATGTGATAAGCCTTAGAGCAACCACTAAGAAAATAACTCGAAAAATACATAGTGAAGGAAAGAAAACAACAATGTTCCTAACTTCACAATCAAATGAATTCTCCTTTTCAACATTTCACCAGAGGCTCAAAATCATTCCACGTTTAATTTTTTTTTCTTCTTATAATGTCTACTGAAAAAGTAGCAAAATCTACGGAGGAGAGCTTTATTTCTAAAAGGGGGTATCACAACCTGCAAGTGGGAAATGGAGCCTCTGGTTAAAACTGAAAAGCAGGTGCTTTGAAGGAGGAAAAATGAAACAGGAATTCATACTGAATGGATTGGTTTAGCATACATATTCAACCGACTATAGGAGGAGCTATGAATATTCATGAAGGGGCACACGTGTAGTAAGCTAACATGTCTGTTACATATGTCCCATGTTCACTTCGTGGTGGAAACAACATTTAAATGTACTAAAATTAAGCTCTATATGTCAAAAGGTGAAGCAGAGGACATGAAGGGACTCAGCATGCAGTCTCCGTAAACTGGCCAGAACCACTCCATGTTCAGTGGTCTCTTATCAGGAAGGAATGCTAGCCAGTTGCTGTGTCGAAACTACAAAAAGCAAGGGGCAGTGTAACATGGTTGGTTGAAATCAGCCATGGAGCAAGTCTTTCAGAAGAGCTTGTTTCTGTTTAACCCTTAGGAATGAAAGCCTACTGGTGGTTAGCAAGGTAGGGGGTGTAACTGGGTGTGGCTGACCTACTGTTCCGTCATGGACAGGAGCTCAGTTTTTAAGGTTTCTCTGGGGTCTCCAAGTGAGCCTCCCTGGGGAATCCTCCAATTTCCCTAGTGAGAGCAAGAACCATATCTGTCTGTACTGCCCAACTCAGGTTTGTTTGTTTGTTTGTTTGTTTGTTTTTTTGCAGTAATAGACAATAACTATTTAAAGAATGAATAAGTGGTGGTAAAGTGAAACAGACTAAGTTCCTGATGTAGAAGGCCGAAGACTGTTTCTTAGGCAGACCAAGTAGAAACTATATGATATTTTTCTATAGTAATAACCTTAGAAATGGCAATTCAGTTCTATAGTACAATTAATATCACTAAAAGAATGGTCCAATGAACTTACAAGTTATGTGGTGTATGTGGGTTAATCTGGGAGACCAACCACCATTTATTAAATTCTTCTATACAAAAGTGCTTTCTGAAGGGCAAATAGCAAGTTTACAAATGAATTTTTGGAAAACAAATTGTAAATTAAAGTTCACTTCTAAGGCTATTAATTTGTGGGTATCTTTGTCTATATCTTCTTCTCATTGATATATCCTCAGGTACCTAGAGTTCTCCCTTCAGCCAACCTTAATTTTGAATTATATGCCAGTTATAAATGATCTTCAGAATATGAATTAAATATCCCCTTTAATTTTAATTGATATGATTTTACAATATTAACTACATAGTGACAGTAGATTTGGATATTTATCATTTTTCTATTTGACTTATAATTTAGGGCCAAATGGGTATCATAAGGAGCTCTCACTCCAGGAAACACTGTAGAGTACTCTAGTATCCTAACAGTCCATCCTTCTTGATTTTTGAAAATAGTCTGTTGTGGAGTAGTTTAGGATAACCTAACTACTTGTCTGTCAAATAGAGGAATGCTGTGACTGGAGAAAATGGAGCCATTATACATTATTCTTTGGTACAGTCACAAAAAGCTACTTATTTCACAAAAGACACTATTTTGCCTTTTCAGGTGTAACTGTGTGGAACCGCATAATCCCAGCAATGATACATTGAAGGAATGGAGGGAATCTAATATTTCTGCCTCTGACATAATATGGGAGAATCTAACTGTGTCAGTAAGTAAAACATTGAAAATTAAGTCATACCTAAGAGCTTTTGTTGACATTGTGACTCAATTATTGCCATTACAGTAAAATTTGCTTGAATGCATAATATTATAAAACTAATAGTTGTGTTTGAATTTTAATTTCATCATTTCAGAGGCTCATCAGTAAACTGGGGTTATCTTTCATTATTAAGGTTGTTCTAGTAGAAGACCAGAATTGCTCAAAAAGCTCATTTATACAGAATTATGTGACTGAGATGGACTGAAAGCACATTAAATATGAGTGGTGTTGACCTAAATGAAACCATATGGCAGAACTAAGTCTGCCTTCTGTGTAGAGAACTCAGAATGCTCTTACTTTACTCTGTAATGCTGCTCCAGCTGTTCCGGATCTGCTGGGGGAAGGGGATGTTTCTAATATTCTAGTGTCAATACTAAATTCTTTGGGAGGAACAAATATCACTTTTCTTCATAAAATTCTGGCACCTCCCTCAACAAGATATTTCTTTTTCCCATTTTGTTGTTATCTCCCACTCAAGAAAGGGCATGGCAACATATTTTTCACCTATAACAGTTAAATCCTGTGCCATTGTCTTATTTCCTTTGGCGTTTCTCTGCTTTGTAATTTCTTTCTTTTCATACCTGCGTTTCTCTAGTTTTCTGAATCTATTATAACTTCTGTGCCTCTTTAACTATCAATATTTGCATTCTATACTTCTGGTTCAATAAAATCTTGTAATTTGAAAATGTATTCTGCTTTTAATAAGTATTAAAATCTGAGTAGCCCTACTTTCTTTTCTACTTTTCCCAGTTATAAACATTACAGGTTCAAACTTTCTGCCACTTTACCTACCCATATAGGCTCAAATTTTATTATGACTATCAGCAAAAAACTATATGAGTTCTAGTTCATTTGATCAAATGCATACTATTTTAGTAAATGGTCCAGTTAGGGAACATAGAAATCTTTTTTGTTGTACAGATATTATAAAACTCTAAACATGATTCTTGTAAAGAGCATATGATCTATTGACTATTTTCTTGATTTTCTCTATTGAACATGTGCTTTCAAAATTGAAATCAAATTACTTACTCTTTATTTAAAATTCTATCTTGGCCTATATTTTACTACTTCTATTCTTACCCTAATTGTATTCTGTAGAATAAGCCTTCAGTTACTCTTGTTTTGTTATTGTTAACGTTTATTCAATTCCACCTATTTTTTCCTAGAAAAATAACATTGCCAGGCTGCTTCCACTCAAAGAGCCATTTTAACTGAACAATAAAAGAGTTGATGAGCTGATCAAGAAAAAAATGCTATAGTTATTCAGAATTTAGACATGGGGTCATGATTAATGAAATCAGTAGTGGGTCTCCTGTCTACATTTTCTTTGGTAGACTATATTATGTTTACAGAGCCTCTTGATGTCTTCTTCAATATGAAAACCCAAATGATCCCATCTCTAAGTTATATAACATGATAGTTTATTCTATATGTATTTTGTATTATGTGAATAATTTAATACTAAATAATAATATTCATTCTATGTATTAGAAACTTCTGAATTTTTAGAGTTCTAAGAAGCAGACATACAGCACAGTTATCAGGCTAGCTGTGAGTTAGATACCGTAAGTTTTAAGGTCAAGTAGAATAGTGAAAAATATTTTACAATTGAAGCAAACACAGCATTGTGGGGTTGTTGGTTTTTTTCTCTTTTTTTGTCATTTTAAAAAGTTTTGTACTAGGTGCTAACATTCAGGCAGAAATTTTTATATTATTTTTCATTAGTTAAAAGCAGTTTTTGCAATGGATAATTGCTAATCTTGACCAGAAACAGTCTTTATCACCAGAGGGAATACTATATAAGGAAAACAATCTTGTAATGTTTAAGTAAAAAAAAAGACCATTAAAATTTTTGTCTAATTTTTATGCTTTTTCCTCAATATGTTCATACTGTCATCAAAAATATTTTATTAATAAAGCACTGAACTAGTGGCTTTTATAACTAATTTTGTTAAAATAGTGATATTACATTTAATTTACATATTATTTATTTGGCAGGTCCTGTAATGTTTCATTGAGTTCTTACATATCTCATGAATTATAATTTATACCTTGCCAACTCAGCAAGGGCAAAGAACTTTAGCTTTCTTTGATTCTCCCAAACTGCTCTATGCATAGTAAGTGTTAAACATTTGATAAAAGTACTTAATGTCTGTTTTGAAACAGTTTCATCTTACTATTTAATGCAAATATTTATGGCAAGCTAGAGTACTTAAGTGTGTATATATATGATCTCAAAAATCAGCCTTTATAAGAAATCCTTAGGCATGATTTAAAATATTCATAAGCAGTTAACCAGAGTTTGGTGTTTTGTTGCCTGAATTACATATTTAGCTTGTACATATATAAGGGGCAGGACACTAATGCCAACTTTAATTTCTTATTTTATCTAACTTAATTTTTGCCAACTTATAGAATTGCTGAAACTTAGAATGTGTTTGAAGAGTAATTAGTAGAAATCAGTTTGTCAACAAGCATTTTTTGAGTACCCATTGTAACTGAAACCATATGTTAGACTCAAAAGAAGAGAGCAGGATTTGGATTTGGTTTTCATTTCTAAATTTCAGGACTTACTCTGTGTGTATGTGTGCATGTATGTATGTGTGCATGTGTGTGTGCCTCCGTGTGTGTGTTGGGGATACAATTCGTATAAAACTGAAAATAAATGTTGAATTTAGCAGGTCACAATTTTTCTTTTTTAAAGTTAGCATTTTGTTTACTCCCAAAGAGAAAATAAATAACATTTTCAAATATGCTTTAAATTAATGTAACTAGGCAGGCCATTGGCAAATTATAGAGTGTAAGACAGCTAAGGGATCCTTTAAATGTCATCTATGTTCTTAAGAATTGAGAACAAGATCCCGCCAAATGACTTTTATACCTGTAGAAATGACAAAAGATGCTCACAAATTTATAGATAATGTGTTTATCATGGAACTTTTAGCTCCTTTTTCTATGTAACCATTTTGCTACCCATTATATTGCTTAATAATTGCTCTGCTAGCATTTCTGGACAGGTGCAGAAGAGGAAGAAAAACACAAGGATTCATTTTTGCCACCTTATCTATTTTTACGGCATTTTGAAAGAAGGAAAATTAAAACTTTAATTAAGGCCTGGGGGATTTTTCTGTGGTTTTTCAATTAGCCAAGTTGCTGTGCTCTGCATTAGCTTAACATGAATAATTGGAATTTAACTTTGCCTATCAAGGAAGATGTTTGCAGTTAAATTAGAAAAGGGGACAGATTCTTTAAGACAATGATAAGGTATATTAACTATATTTCTCAAGACTCTCAGGCTTAGGGTAACTAGCAACTCCAAGTAGATTTTACTAGTTGTTTGTTTTCAGATGATAGGGTAGCTATTTGTGATTTATTCTACAATCTTTGGAATGTATTTACTTTTTGCTCTACAAGGATTTCAGGCCTGAAGTTAGGCAGACTCTGTGTTTGTGGTCAATCTATGAGTTCATATTTTTCTCCAAGATCTCTCTGCAATTCAATTTATGTTCAGGGCAAGAATATCTCAAGGACTAATGAGATCATTGGATCGTTTAAACCATTATTTCCTGTTTTGAAATGTAAAAATACTTTAGTAATCTAATTTTTAAAAAGATAAACCAAAGTAAGTTTAAAATAATTTTTTTTCTTTCAAAATATTTGTTTGAAATGCTGTTTTTCCTGGAGAAAAAAAATTTTTTTGACTTTGCTGCCACCTCATGGCTAAGGCAGTAATTAGAAATAATTCTTCAGGCTCTTACAGAACTACAGTTGCAGAAGAAAAAATAACCCATGGAGAAGTCATAGTAAATATGAGCTTTGCCTTGCTCATGTAGTAATTTTATCTCATTTGTTCTTTAATCCAAGTTCGATAGTCCCATCTTTGACTTACAATTTCATTTCAGTCATTGTATGTCATAGTTTTCTTGTTGCCTTTCTCATCTTTCTTGGCAGCTTTTGAACTAGATAATTCTACAAAACATTGTTGTCCGTCAATAAGCAATAATAATCTCACTGCAGAAGTCGTGTTTGTATCACGGCTCTGCGGCTGCCCACCAGTAGTGAGGCCACAACAAATTATTTAACCCCTCTATGCCTCAGTTTCCTCAGACATGGAATATAAATAATAACATGAACCTATTTTATGGGGTTGTTGTGAAAAGTAATTTAAATGATGTATTTAAATAGCTGGGCATAGTGTCTGACCTTAGTAACCAATCACTATTACGTATGTCATATTTTCAATACATCTGGTGTTAGGAACTTAGTAGGTATTAGATTTAATGCACATTAATTAATTGGTAAATGAATTAGTTTTGTACATTTAAATTTAAAAAGTGGTTCATGTTCAAATTTTTCATAAACCTTTGATATTTCTTACCACCCATCCAAGTTGAACTTGAAAGTCGTAATGTAATGCCTGTTAAATCACTGCGAGAGCCATAAAGGAAAAGCCTCAGCATCTGAACTACAATTGATCAGAAGGTGTTAGTTTTCTGCAAGAAATGTGTCTGGTTTTTTCTTAGTAGCTCCATTTGTTTTACTTCCTCTGGCAGGAATGCAAATCATTGCATGGAGAGTATGTTGGACGGGCCTGTGGCCATGATCACCCATATGTTCCAGATGTTCTATTTTGGTCGGTGATCCTGTTCTTTTCCACAGTTACTCTGTCAGCCACCCTGAAGCAGTTCAAGACTAGCAGATATTTTCCAACCAAGGTACTTAGACTATAATTTTCTTGATCTAAGTGTAAAATAACATAGGACAAAAGAAAGAGTAATTGGTGTAATAAAGGGAGCCACTGAAAGGCTTTTGTGTGAGTGAGCTGCCAGGTTAGTTGTGGGGTGAGATAAGGGGCTGAAGAGAAAGAATTTTGTGATGCAGGTGCTGGGAGTGCATATGCAGGCTTCTCTCCTAACTGCAAACCCCGCGGATCAACTCCTACTTTCCTACTGACGTTTTTGGAAATTCACAGCACACACTGCATTACTGATTGTCACTTTTTTGCCCAGTGAACAGTGGGAACTATTCCAGCCTGACAGATACCTCAGAGGAGCCTATATTACATTCTCTAATTGGGGAAGCCCCCGCAAGTCTCATTGGAACAATATTCTCTTTTTCAGTGTTTAAACCGTCAGTCCCTCCCCCTAACCCACTACGTTTGCATCTGCATATTTGGAAAGGAAAGTAAACAGAGAAACAGCTTAGTTCAATATTTAACACTGCAAAGTAACACCTATAATGTCTGATTCCGCCAAAAAAAAATTAAAAAAAAGGAAAAGAAACAAGGAAACAAGCTTCTTAGGGATGAGATATAGATTATGATCAAAATTCCACTCTGGGAAAATATTTCAAGAACTGTTCCTTCCGAAAGGAGCTTCTTTTTTGTCACCACTTTCTTCCCTAAAGTGGAAGATTCATTTATTTCCCCAAAAAAACTTACTCTGATTAATACAAAAACATTTTTATGAGCTGAAACAATAATCTTAAGCATTTTGTGTATGCTTGTGTGTATGTCATAAAGGCATCTTAAAATAGACTAGATCTGGATAATAATTGTATGTGAATATTTGCTCAGAATTGGCTTTATAAATGAGAAATGGCTTTAAAAATTGGCTCACATAGAATAAATTTTAAATTTGCCCACTCTGTTGTGTACATTCCCAACTGTCATGCTTATATTCTAGATAAACTAAAACATTATGTTTCTTTGATAAAAACAGATAATTTTATTTTATGATGCTTCAAGTTTATCATATTAAAATGTTACCTGTGTGAAAGAGATCCCTAAAATCCACCAAATTCTGCCCATGCTACCTTATTCTGTGTTCTGAATATTCACATGCATGGGTTCATCATAAAGTTAGATTTTAAATAAACATTGAAAACAACTCAACCACGATGTAGCTATTCCATAATGCCTCATTCTGGAAAGGTTGAGTGTGTACCAATCTTAACGACAGTGATACATAAATATATATTCAGGTTCTGACAGAGCTAATGGTAATCTTATAGTATGCATAAAATATAATATTATGATATTATGTCATAAAGTGTTTATAAAGTGTGACTCTAGATTATGTTCCTGAGTATTCCTTGATATTTATAGCTACTTTAAGTGACAAGTGTTTTCATTATTTTTAGGTTCGATCCATAGTGAGTGACTTTGCTGTCTTTCTTACAATTCTGTGTATGGTTTTAATTGACTATGCCATTGGGATCCCATCTCCAAAACTACAAGTACCAAGTGTTTTCAAGGTGAATTTATCATAGCACTTACTATCTCTCTCCCTCTCCCCATCTCTCTCGGTCTAATCTTCATTTAGATGATACCTATAACCCTAGTACTTAGGATTTTCATGAAAATATAAAGAATTTAGATTAGAAGAGCAGTAAATGAAATGCACACAGCATGGCTAAAATTGGGGTCTAATGTTTAAAAAAATAAGAATTACAAAATATAAATAATTATAAATATAAAAATTGCTCGAAAAAATTTCCTGTCAATTCTGACAGTTGAAATATATATATATAACATTCTTAAAAGATAAGGAAGCATTTAAAACTAAGAGAAAAGGATTATCTTGGCAGAATTGTACAGTGAACAAGACTTGAAAAACAGATAAAAATAGATTGGAAATAGAATTCTGACCGTGTTACTAATGAGGTACAGTTTGAACATTTCTTATCCAAAGTGCTTGGGATGAGAAGTGTTTCAGAGTTCTTTTTTTTTTTTTTTTCAAATTTTGAAATATTTGCAAACACATAATGAGGTATGTTGGGGGTGGGACCCAAGTCTAAACACAAAATTTATTTTTGTTTCCTATATACCTTATACATATAACCTGAAAGTAATTTTATACACTATTCTTAATAACATATGTGACCTATCACATGAAATGAGGTGTGAATTTTCCACTTGTGGCATCACGTGAGTGCTCAAAAGTTTCAGATTTTGGATCATTTCAGATTTCAGCTTTTCAGATTAGGAGTGCCCCTTTGTTTTCTCTGTCAAACAGGGCTGGGGACTTCTATATAGGACTCTTGTCAGATGAAATTTTGAGAATCATCTCAGACAGCAGTCATGTTTGGAACCCTTCCCTGAGCCTCTGCTCTGACCAAGTATCTTTTTTTCCATTTTCACTCAATAGCCTCTGCACATCAAAAATAACAGTTACAATACCATAATGATGTATTCTGTTTAGATGTCTGTCTCTGATTCTAAACTGAAAGAAGCCTCTGATTTATCTTTGTATCTCAGTTCTAGCACAGCGTTCTATGTGTCAATGTGCTATTTGTAAATTTCAATACATTTTCCAATAGTTAATGGTAAATATTGATATTATTTTATTTAATACAGGTATTGATTAAGAACACAGATTTTTCAACAAGTCTGTCAGAGTTTAAATCCCATCTCTACCACGTACTAGCTTTGAGATCTTGGGCAAGTTACTGGATCTCTCTATGCCTCAATTTTCTTTTCTGTGTCATCTTTAGAGTGTTGTGAAGAAAAAAAATGAGTTAAAATATTTAAAGCACTTAAAATGGTTTTAAGTGCTTTATGAATATTATTATTACTTATTGTAGCCCACTCAGCTCCTCTGTTTATAATTAGGGCTTTCCTGGTAGCATCTGTAAGACTTAATTTGATCAAGTATTCATTAATCCAGTTCATAACTATGCACATCCTTTACTTTATACAGCCCACCAGAGATGATCGTGGCTGGTTTGTTACACCTTTAGGTCCAAACCCATGGTGGACAGTAATAGCTGCTATAATTCCAGCTCTGCTTTGTACTATCCTAATTTTTATGGACCAACAGATTACAGCTGTCATCATCAACAGAAAAGAGCATAAGCTAAAGGTATATTTTAACATTCATTTTAATGTAAATCATTATGACTTAACTGATATTAACTGATGTTCATTTGACTTCTCCTGTATTCTTATTCATTTGTACAGTGAAATATATAAAATAACATTTTCAGATGTATAATTTTTATTGTCTTACAAGATACTTGGTCTTACAATGCTTTGAGAATTTACTTATTTGTAGCACTTGGCTGAGCTCAAGTCTGAGAACTCACCTCCAAGGCATAAAATAAAAAAACATTGTCAAAGTTCTAACTTTACCATATTTAGCATATTTTAGTGAAATAACAATCTGTTCTGGTGAAGTACAACCATACCAACTTGTCTTACATCTGAGATTCCTCTATTCCTCTATTTAACCCTAAGTGTATCTATTACATTTAATTCATTATCAGAATAAATTACAACTTCAACTATTTCTTATTTTCTTTAATTATTTTTCTTTCTGCCTATAACAACAAAATCCAGACATAAACGTCACAGTTTGGAAGTGACATCTTTGAGTTTTATTGCAGATTTCACTGTCTCTTTTATAAAAAGAATAAGTAAATATAGATGTGTCTTGGTTACATTCTGACCTTGCCATTTTGCAGTTGTGAATAATCAAAATTGTTCACTGGTATGCAATTTGCCTGAGATTTGTAATGTAAGCACTATCACTTACTTTCAGGAATATGTTAAATAAAGTCAATGAAATCATTAAATGGTTAAAAATAATCTGCATCAAACCTTGTAAAAACAGAACATGCATAATCTTGTTTTTGTTTTGGTATCATGGAGAAATTGCCAGCTATTTTCACATACCCTTTAAACTCTAGGAGAAAAAAATCATTGTCAGATTTCTATAAAGAAATCATGCTTTATAGGATTTCTTTTGTAAGAATGTTAGAAAGATGAAAAAAATCTCTGATTAAACTCTGATGCAATATATTACGTTAGTGCAAAAGTAATTGTGGTTTTTGCCATTGCTTTTAATAACAATAATAACATAAATGTAAGAAAGCACACTTATTTGCAATAAATCTTATGAAGAAGGAATTTTGAGTATATGATGGAGAGAATGTGTGTCTGAAAGCAAAGGACATTCTTCATTCTCTTTGCAGAATGTAACTTCAGAATTCTCACAACTTTATGTATTTTATTAAATGACACATTTTAAAAAATCAACTAAAAAACTGTTTTAGGAAGAAAGCAAGCCATATAATTATTATTTACCTTTCAAAAAAGATTTTTTTAGCCTTCATAATTAGGCAGAAATTCTAGTGAGTCCACTGAAAAAATTATCCTTTGTAAGGGTCATCAGTTAAATGGATTCAGGCAGAATTTTTTTCTTGTTGTAAGTGGAATCATATTAAAACAAAGTGTGGAAGTGAAATGTGTGCTGAGATTGTTATTACCTTCCTGGCCATTCTGAATCTTTGCCCTTTCCTGGGCCCTCAACCTTATAAATCACATGGCACTTGCTCTTACTCAATGTTCTTCATGAGCCCTTGACATTCACAGCCTTTCCAAAGCTCCACATTGACAAATACACTAATTTCCCCCTTCACATACACTGTGGAATAACAAAAATGTAATAAAGCATTCTTCAAGTGGTCCTCTCAAGTACTTGCATTTATAGAATTAAATGCAGAACTAGAACTATTTTTGTCACTGAAATAAACCTAAGGCTACATTACTAAATCTGTTTTATTGTGCAAAGAAATGATTATGTAGTCAAAAGTTTCATATTTTTGCCCCTTACTACTCTGGATTTAGTAAGTGATATAGCAAATCTGGCTAATCATAAACTCTGCTATATGGCCACAGGCAGAAGAGTCAGCCCGTTCTTGGTCACTGCGAATCGGAACTCTCCATCCTCCTCCTTAGATATGAATACTTTAAAAGCAAATTTCTTCCAGTGAAGATGTATTTTGTCTACATTGAATCCCTATTGGGCCTACAACTCTTATCTCCTTAAGCTTCTGTAGAGTGTGGTCTGATGCTACTGGGTTTCCCGTTAACAACAACAAAATCACCTTCTCAGAATGTTATTTACTCAGAGTAACGGTTTGTTCCATAGTACTTCTCCCCGCTTCACTGAAATGTTTGCAGTCTCCTGGCTTTGACTTGAACCACATTTTCACTAAAAGATGTGTTTCTTGAGTATATCACCAGACCACAAGCTAACCACTTGTGAAAGCATTTTCAGCTTTTACTAATTTTCTTTTCTCACTTTGAGAAACCCATTTTTGCCTTAGTTGGAGCATTCCCCGAAATTGTTTAATGAATCATGTTTTGTAGTTTGTGTATCAAACACTTGGTAGACTCCACATCATGTATCTAAGTCTACATACACCCAAATCAACTCAGAATTCCTCTTTTCATTCTTTATCTCTCCCAAACATATTTTAGATCTTTTTACTTTTTCTTCACCTCTATTGCCAGAACTAGTAGCTGGTTTTCTTTCAGACGATATTTCTCATGCTGATAAAAATGTTTTTATTGGCCAGGCACAGTGGTTCACGCCGTAATCTCAGCACTTTGGGAGGTCGAGGCAGGCAGATCACGAGGTCAGGAGTTAGAGACCAGCCTGGCCAACATAGTGAAACCCCATATCTACTAAAAATACAAACATTAGCTGGGCGTGGTGGTGGGCACCTGTAATCCCAGCTACTCGGGAGGCTGAGGCAGGAGAATCATTTGAATCCAGGAGACAGAGGTTGCAGTGAGTTGAGACTGCACCATTGCACTCCAGCCTGGGCGACAGGGTGAGACTCTGTCTCAAAAAAAAAAAAAACTGTTTTTATCATTTCATGAGTGTCACTATGTACACAATAAAGCTGTGTTGCACTGTGTTGGTGACTTACTACTCCCAAAGAATGCGGGAGCTCAAAATTAGTAAAACTCGAACTCATTGCATTCTGTTATCCTTCGGATGGCTCCAGAGTGAAAGAGGAGGCAAATATAAAAATTTGAGAATGTGAAGTATCATGTATATTATACATAAATGTACATATAAATCCATACTCTCTCTAGCATTTGTTTGTTTGTTTGTTTGTTTGTTTGTTTCTCCCTTGGAGAAGTGGATTAGGCATAAGTTAACTGAATCCCTTTGAAAAGCATTAAAAATATCTACTTGGGTTTTTTAAAGCACATTCTCTAAATGTGAAAAGAGAGATATAATCTTATAAAAAAGAAAGTTTCTGTTAAGATACAACTGTGGGCTTTTCTACATGTTTCTGTAGACAGTTCAGGCTTCTTTTGACATCATTTTTAATAAACAGCAATACAATCCCGGATCACTTGAGTAAATGAATGCATTTGCAACATTCATTTGGCACCATATTCTCTTGATGATTATGGCATTTGATATGTTCTTTTTTGCCCTCTTTGTCAGCCTGGTTCTTCATGTCAATCTATAGTCTTTTATGTGGTTAACTTGACAGATGCAGGAAATTGCTGCCAAGCTTTGAAATGAATTTTTTCAGCAGTGGCATCTGGGTATCAGATGGTCCTCTTGGCTGGCCTCTTGTCTTGCTGCATGTTGGTTTTAGTGGGGTCTGGTGTAGCATCACCTGTTGCTATGCTCCCTTTTCCTCCCATATGTCCATTTCCTGTGATTCATGGATGAATGTGAGAATAAAAGCTCTAGCTCTGTCTTTATTTGAGAAAAAAATCTACAGAAATATGTTAGAAGGTGTAGAGTTCTCTCTCTGACAAAGGGGTACTTCTCTTTGGCTGGCATGCCTATCAGCTAATAATTTTGTTACAAAGTCCAAGTTTTTAAAGACATTTTAAATGAAAGGCAAGAAGGATACTGGTTAGTTAGGGGAAGAGCAAGAAGTGCTTTATTTATTTCCTTTGGTTTACATTGAATCAAGATGCTCCCATTGTTGTACAGCATAATTAGGGGAAATTATATTTTTGTTTTTGTTATATATTTATACATTACAAAGCTAGCTTTATGAATTGAGAAAAGAAATTATTTCCTCTGAAAGAATTATTTTGCCCACTTCCTGCAATTCAGAATCCCACTGTTTACATTTGTATCATATTTTTTAAACATTCAATAAGAGCTATTGGAAATCACTATCATGACGAAGGTCTCCCTCATATTATTGAGCTGTAGTGAATGTGGACTCTGAGAAAGTCCAGGTGTGCTAAAAAGTACAAGCCTGACTCTCAAGGCCCCCTGTCTTCTGCCCTCCTCTGATGTTCATCTCACAGCCATTAGCTCCTCTTACATCTTTCGTTTTCTCTTAGCAGTACCACAATTTTGCAAAACAACTCCAAGGGAGCAGCATTCACATTGTACTCCCTTAGAGGCAGAGGCTTAAGTATGAGGTCCTTCACTGTTCTACATCCTTCTCCCTCCAGAGTTGCTAGGACAAAACACTTCTCAAGCTGCTTAAGACGTTGTCCTTTAAAGGGACCAAAATCTGAGTTCTATTCTATGGAATTACACCTTCCAAAATGTTTTACAAAAGGCCAAGGTACAATATTACAGTCCTGGCAAAGCTTTTTCCTATGCTTTTTTGATTATGCGGACACCAGGCAGTTTCTCTTCCTACTCTTCAGCTCTTACTAATCAAATTCTTTCTTGAGTTACTTGCAAAGAAAAGTTTCCAGAGTCATATTCATTCAGGAAATTGAGTTAGACATTTTGGTGAATTGTAGCATTGCCCCAGTAAGCTGAGCCAATGAAGGGTACCACTGCTTTGGTGCCAACATAGGAGGAACAGGTCTTTAGGTACATAACTCTCATTTTCTCCTCACTATCATCTCTTGCACTTTTATAATTTGGAAGGGATGAGGAGAAAGGAAAGAAAGTACAACTGAGTTTAAGAATCTTGTTACTAAGAAAACAAAATCACAGAGAAAGACTACCATGACAAATATGCAACAGTGTGTTTCACACTCCAGGCTATAAGAGCTTTCATATTAACTGCAAACTGCTTGAAGTTATATAAAACTACCGCTAAAAATCAGACTATTATTCTCCTAGAAGAATTGGTAATTTCTGCTCATGATCATAATAACAAATTTAACTGCTGTATTTATTTTAAAATTACACTTACTAAATTTGATTCTGAAAAGTTTGATGCATATTTTATTTTCAAAAAAGTCAATTTGTAACTTTTATTGATTGCTTATTGTGTGCCAATGATTGTGCTAAAAACAAGAGGAAATACTGAGAAGTTATATAAGTTATCTGCTCTTAAGAAACATATTAATAGTTTTATTAAGCAGCCTTGAAACCTAATGAGTACAAAAGAAACATTTATTGCTTAACCATTAGGATATAATAGTACCTAACATTTTCTGGTCGCTTTCTATTCAACAGATATTATTCTAAATTATTTACAACATTAACTAATTTAGTTATCACAACGGTCCAGTGAGGTGCCTTCTACTGTCATCATCATCATCATTTTTCAGATAGGGAAAAAGAGACACAAGAGCTTAAGTGATTTATTGGTTGAGCTAGCATTTCATTCCAGGCAGTCTGACTCCAGAACTTATATTCTTAACCACTTTATTATACTGCCTCTCATGAAGCAGTCACTAAAAATTAAAAAGGAAAGGTGGAACATAAAGTAGGCCAAACCTTTGGCTGCTTCTGTGGCTCTACACTTTTGGTTCCTACAGGGTATGGAGGGAGTGCTCTTCCCTATCTTTGATTTCCCTCTTCCGAGAGCACCCTGTCTGTGCAAGAGGGCAGTTTCCACACACCCCACTGCACCTATTTTTCCTCCTTTACGTTTCCTACCTGGGCCTAGGAAGCACTTAGTTTGCAACACCTGGAGGTTATTGACAGTGGAGTAGCATAACAGAGGAAATAGAAAACAAAAAACTGTGATTTCTAAGGTGGGGCTTAATTTGTCTAGTGTTGAAACTTAAACAATTTAGAACAAGATAGCACTATATTAAGGAAAAAAATGACTATACAGGGGAGCTTAGGCTCCATGATATTATTTTTTTCTAATAAAAGTCACCCAATGAGACAAAAGAGGGCAATTGGAAACTGAATGTTTGTTTAAGAGTTTACTCCAGGAGATCTGATATGAAGGGCTTGTTGAGTATGATCAGGAAGTGGTTTCTATTCGCAATCAGGCCATCCTTAGCCCTGTTGTTGACACAGTTTCTTTCTCTCTTTCTTTCTTTTTTAAACAGAAAGGTTGTGGGTACCATCTGGACCTATTAATGGTGGCTGTCATGCTCGGTGTATGCTCCATCATGGGCCTGCCATGGTTTGTGGCTGCCACAGTCCTCTCCATCACTCATGTCAATAGCCTAAAACTGGAATCAGAATGTTCAGCTCCAGGAGAACAACCCAAATTTCTCGGCATTCGGGAGCAAAGGGTTACAGGGCTTATGATTTTTATTCTTATGGGTTCATCAGTCTTTATGACCAGTATTCTGAAGGTAACGAAATCTGTCTTTATGAACTTGAGAGAAAGAAGAATATATTTATCATAATTTAATATTTTCATTTGAATCTGAGCCATAAATTTGCAAATATTGTGTGGCATGTGATGAAAGTGATGAATTTCTTAACCATGTTTATATAATTCTTCATAACCTAAGGGAGGAAAATTATGTCCTATATTTTAAAACCGTTAAATACATAAAAATTTAGTCTGGCAAAGTAAAATTTGATGAGTAAATTATTGTAACAATTTTGAAATGGTGATCAAGCTATGGGAAAAAGTCACTCATTGTTTCTGACTGACTTGTGACCTGAATTCATTACAGGCATTCATAAAGATTCTATTTTCTTGTCAATGGATAAATATATTAGCAGTTAATATTACTTACTATTAATAAAATACAGAGGTGAAGGAATGAGCCTGCTCCATTTTAAGTGCTCTATGAAACCACTCTCTGGACATCATCTTTGCATATACTGATATTTTTTCCACAGAAAACTTGAAATCTATTTTAAAGGGGATTAACTAGTAATTATTTTGTCATGTAATTTTGTCAGATATTTCCAAGGTGTGTTAATTGTGCTATAAATTACAACACATTTTATTTGCCAATAATTTGACATTTTAATTAAATTATTTAATCGTTTACTAGTATTTGATCATTAACACAAGTACCTTTGCAAGAATTATGTAAGTAATTGTGTTATGTAAGTAATTATCTTATAGACATAAGATGATGGTGAACTATTCCAATAAAAAGAGAAAATCTGAGTAATCCATATATTTACAAATACCTGGCATAATGCAGGAAACACATCTAAATGTTAGCTTCCTTCTTTACCTTTAATCCAAATATCTTATCTTTGTAAAACAAAATTCAAATTGTCTCTAAAGTGGCATAATAATATTATTGTTCATTATATACTACATGGTTTTTAAAAATAGATTTTGACTTATTAAATAATTATAACAGCCCTATTGTTATCATCTCGTTTTAGATATTGGGAAACTAAGGCACAGAGAGCTTAAGTAACTTCCCTAAGGTTACACAGCTAAAAACTGCTAGAGCTGGAACTTGCATCCATGTCTTCTGAATCTGTACTATACTGTTTCTACTCAAAAATGCCTTTTTTCTCCATTTTTTTCTTTGATAAATGCAAAACCACAGTATATTTGAAAATGATTTGTACCTTTTCTCCAATTGTTCTTTTACAGTTTATTCCCATGCCAGTGCTATATGGAGTGTTTCTTTATATGGGTGCTTCATCTCTAAAGGGAATTCAGGTAAATTACTTACAGTACTACAGGCACATCTGTGATGACTTATCTTAAGATCTACCGATAAGTCATGTGACAGCTAAGAAAATGATGCCACCTGAGGAACAGCTTTTAGACCACAATTAAGTTTCTTCAAACTTGTTTTTCTTCAAAACTTGTTTGAAGAGTTACAAAAGTTAAAGAAGATACTCTCCAGCATCTAAGGTTCATAAACTTCTGGTATTTTATTTATCGTAAGTATATTAAAACTGTAAGAGGCTTAGGTTTTACAGCATATTTAGAAAAATCATAGTAATATATTTCAATACATATCCAAATATTTATAATATTTGACACTTTAATCTTGTGTATGGACATCTATTGGTAAGAATAGGAAAAATCTTTATGTACAAAGATGTTCATTTTAACACATACTGTTATAATATTGGAAACAACCCAATTCTCTCACAGCAATAAAATAATTAAGTAACCTATGGTATATTCACTGAAAATTGATAATTTTGTATCAGTTAAAGTTCCAGTGTACTTTTAGGAACTACAAAAGTAACATGGCAAAAATGCTTACGACATAATACACAGTAAGAAACTACTGACCATAGGTTTATAAAGCCATAAGTTTGAGATGGGTTGTAAAGGAAGGTGTAGAAATAAAAACAATTTGTTGAGATAGTGATATCCTGGGGTTTTTACACCTTGTTTTGTTTGTTTTACTGTTATATTTGTAGGATTATTTTTAAAATTAGACTAAAATAAAGGTATAGGCAGTTTCAAGTATAAGGGGAACTTTGTACATTATTTAAGTAAGTATTGGTTAAATAAATATTTTAGGCATGAATTTGGCAACAGATCAGCCAGATGGTTCTGGTTCAAGATGTCCCATGTGGTCACTGTCAGGGTGTGGACAAGGTCCACAGCATCTGAAGGTTTGATAGTGCTGGAGGATCTGCTTCCAAAATGTCTATTCCACAACTGTGGGCATGAGGGCATCAGTTCCTTTCTACCTGTTGGTACGATGACTCAGTCTTTTGCCACAGTAGCCTCTCCATGGAATAGTTGGTGTGTCTTCAAAACATGGAATGTAACTCCTTCAGACTGAGCAATTTGAAAGAGAGAGAGAGAGAGAGCGAGAAAGAGAGAGAGGAGAAAGAAGGAGAAGAGAATGAGAGAGAAAGGATGAAAAGTGCTTTTTGATTTAGTCTTCAAAGTCATACATGGTCATTTCCACGTTTTTTATTTGTTAGAGGCTATCCACTAAGTCCAGCTTGCACCCAAGTGAAGGGAAAAGGGAGACTCTATCTCTTGAAGAGAAGAGTATCAAAGAATTTGTGGACACATTTTAGAACCTCCACAAGTGTATTCTAAATGTTTACAGAAGCTGTAGGCAAATTCTTCCCACATATTTCTTTTATGATACTGTTATTGGTTGAATAGTGAGTGTTTCCTGAAAATTTATGTCCACCTGGCATCTCAAAATGTAACCTTATTTGGAAATAGACTATTTGCCTATGTAATTAGATACGGATTTGAAGACAAGATAATCATGGTTTTAGGGTGGGCCCTAAATCTAATGACTGTGGTCCTTATAAGAAGAGGAGAGGGGTTGGGTGTGGTGTGGCTCACGCCTGTAATCCCAGCACTTTGGGAAGCCAAGGTGGGCGGATCATGAGGTCAAGAGATCAAGACCATCCTAGCCAACCTGGTGAAACCCCATCTCTACTGGAAACATAAAAATTAGCTGGACATGGTGGCAGATGCCTATAGTCCTAGCCACTCGGGAGGCTGAAGCAGGAAAATTGCTTAAACCCAGGAGGCGGAGGTTGCAGTGAACGGAAATCACACCACTGCATTCCAGCCTGAGCAACAGAGCAAGACTCTGTCTCAAAAAAAAAAAAAAAAAAAAAAAAAAAAAAAAAAAAAAAAAAAAAGAAGAAGAGGAGAGGACACAGAGAGACACAGGGAAGAAGGCCGTATGAAGATGTAGGAAGGCCAGGCATAGTTGGCTCACACTTCTAATCCCAGCACTTTGGGAGGCCAAAGTGGGTGGATCACCTGAGGTCAGGAGTTTGAGACCAGCCTGACCAACACAGCGAAACCTAGTCTCTACTAAAAATACAAAAATTATATGGGTGTGGTGGCGCATGCCTGCAATCCCAACTACTCAGGAGGCTGAGATAGGAGAATCACTTCAACCCAGCATGCTACTGCACTCCAGCCTAGATGACAGAGGGAGACTCTGTCTCACAAAAAAAAAAAAAAGGAGAAAGAGATTAGAGTTTTGCTGCCATTAATCAAGGGTGCCAGGAGCCACCTGGAGCTGGAAGGCGCAAGGAAGTTTTCTCCCCTAAGACCTTCAAAGGGAGTGTGGCCCTGCCAATATCTTGCTTTAGGCTTCTGGCCTCCACAAGCGTGAAAGAATATATTTCTATTGATTTAAGCCACCAAGTTGTGGTAATTTTTTAGGACGGTCCTAGCAAACTAATAGATTTCTACTTAAATTGTCCCTTGAATAATCTTGTTTTATAATTTAACATTATTTAGCCCAACGCTCCAATGTTCTTGAAAAAGAGACTAGAGGCTTATTTATCATATAGTATTTTGTCAACTGAAAAGCAAAAATAAATTGCGGCTTTTTCTGTGACACAGCTAGACTCACTGCTGTTCAGAGCATGTAAGAGGATAGTTAACCTGCAGGACAGGCAGCGCAGAATCTCTGTTCCTGAGCAAATAACTAACCAGCTTGTGACTTTGGAAGAAGCAGCAACACTTAGGCCTTAAGACAGTACTGGGTGCCAGTCTGAGGCAAACTTAAGTATGAAGTCATTGCAGGTCACGGAACACCCAAAATTGATAGTATGACTGACTCTTCATCCTGACACTGGGAAACAATTAACTGGGAGAGGGAGATGGTTGAGCCATGTTATGTGTTTTAATTTTACTCAAATTAGATTTAATTTGCTCATTTAAAATTTCATGTATGGAAAGTGTAGTTTGATAGAATTGGTTTTGTAAGGCATTAGAGAAGAATACTGAAGAGGTTTTGTTATATTTGTTTTTCTTTTTTCCTTTTTTTTTTTTTGCCTTTGGCAAAAGTTCCATGAGTACTAATCTCATCTGTAAGTGAAAAGTATTTATTATTAGGCCCCAGGCTCACATAAATACAGCAGCAGAAGTTTAAGAAACAAAGTAAAATCATTTTGATGGTAGGTTTCAACAGATTTTTCCCTCTAATTCCACATGATTTTATACCCATGAGGTTTAGAATTAAACAAGAATGTCAAGTTTTGGAGTTATTTGGGATGTGAATCTTTTAAATGAAAATTGAAGAAAACATTATCAAAGGCCCATGAGTTAAATATAATGAGTTTTAAAGAACACAAATGAAACAGCAAGCTGGGGCACACGTTGACGAACAGGGTCTCACACTGAGAAACAGGGTTTGTGAAAATGTAAGTGACCCCAAGCCCAGGAAGTGGAAATTCCTATTTGGAATTGTAGCTAACTGGGTAGGGAAATGTGATATTGATTCTAGGATATAATAAAAACCAAATGTAAAACTCAGAATACATTTGTCATGATGATGATTATTATTTAAACATATACTGAATATCAACAGTTCCAGGAGCATGTTACTCTCTTACCCTATTGAAGGAATCTATGTTACCTGCTTGTTTGGCAGTATTAAGAAACTTATTATCTGAGCTTCTCACTGTGAAACATGGCAGAAAAAACAGATCACAGTGTTCTCATGAATGCTGTTTCTGTATTCAGATATATACCCACATCTATATTCATTCCAACACTTCAGGAATCCAAAGTAAAGCAAATGTGCCATTTAAACAATAACAATTGAAGCACCCACACACTGAAGTACACTTATGCAATAACATAGTTTCACAAATGGAGAAATGGTGGCTGGGAAAAACTAGTTCTATAGAAAAGGAAATATTCCATTGTAAGCCAGAAGATTTTATTTTACTTCTTTCCTATTCCTACCTCTACCGTGCACCAAGTTTTTGTTTATTTAATGACTTTTAAGTTTAAATAATATTTAGGAAATAGAAATTTTAAAACCTAATGACACATACATGGACAGAATGGAGAGAGATTAGTCAGGAATGAGTTCAACACTTAGTAGTCTGCATATAATGTTTCAATAATGTTTTTGGAATATATAAATGAATATGAATAAATGAATGGTCGGGGACTGAACTAATGTATGTACGATTCTTATTTAGATAACTGAGGGAAGGAAGGCCGTGTCATGCCGTAAGACACAGAACACAGAAGGGAAGATAGGTTTATGTTGAGTTTGAGATTCTTACTATATATACAAGCAGGTCCTGGTAAAACAGGGTGTTTTGACTCTAACATTTTAAGTCAATGGACAACTGTTCCTTTGCATATTAATTTGACATATTTGATGAGAATTGTCTACAGTTTTTAAAATAAATTAGTTAAAAAATAAAATCTAATATTACTTTTTGAAAATGAGTAATAGATATTACTGTAGAGATGGCATGAAATAAAACAGTGACTGACAGTGATTGAAACCATTATTTTCTAAATAATCGCCTCTAGTTGGAAACACTGAAAACTGCAAAACTTGGCCGAAGAACAATAAACCAAACAATCTACATAAAATAAAACTATCATGTAGTATGATTTGTTAATAAATAAAATGTGATTGAAGATTTAACCTTCCTGTGTGCATTTAATTTATAAAATTCAAATTGAGAAAAATTGGTTTGCTTGATTAAAAAAAAGCCCTCAAAGTCAAAGCTGTAACATAATAGTATGCAGTACTATAACAATAGTTTTATGTAATACTATGTACTATCTTTATGGCAAGATTGAAACAGAAATAACATTGATTGAGATGAAAGTTATTTTAATAAAATACAACTGAAAATATACAAATGACAGTGCTGCATATAAAGTTAATCAAGAAAAAATAGAGTTAACAAAATTTGCTCTGGAACATACTTTATTAACAAAAATTTATTTAGGTTAAATTTTTATGGTTAAGATGTTTGTGTTCATAAAGACAGTATCTAAACTTTTGTTGGGGATTAAGCGGGCGAAGTCAAAACAGCAGAGTCAAAATAAGGAGGTTAAAATACCATACTTAGCAGCTGGATAAGGGTCTAGAACCCAAGAGAGAGCTCAGACAGAGATGTAGGTCTGTGAATCATTAGCAAGTATGTGAAGGTCAAAGCCTTGGGTATGGATGAACTATTCCAGGAGAAAAGAAGACAGAGAATGCAAGTCCAGGAATCCCAATATTGAGGGGCAAATAAAGGAAGAGTTTGTGATGTGGCAAGGAAAAAGAAGATGGTAGTTATGTTTTGCTTCACAGGGCTCCACTCTTCAAGGTAGCTATATTTAACATTGGCTTTCTATTTTTAAACTCTTCTAAATTGTAACCCGTCTCCATATTCAAGAAAATGTGGGCTATTATTAAACTGAAATTGTAGTGTTTCAGAGGGTAAGCGTAACAATCCCATTGTCCTGATGCCCAGGTATCAACTTAGTGTTATCCAGGTATGTCATTTAACCTAAAATTTTGAACCATATTAAACATCAACTTGTCCTACTTTTATTGTTGTCTTACACCTAAAAACAATTTAGTCTGTTTAATCTTTTAGTTCTTTGATAGGATAAAGCTCTTCTGGATGCCTGCAAAACATCAACCAGATTTTATATACCTAAGGCATGTACCACTTCGAAAAGTGCATCTCTTCACGATTATTCAGATGAGTTGCCTTGGCCTTTTGTGGATAATAAAAGTTTCAAGAGCTGCTATTGTCTTTCCCATGATGGTATGAAACTTCTGTCAACTCTTTTTCTCTTTCTCTGATTTGCTGGTCTCTTTGGAAACAAACACATGAACTGAAATTGGAACAACTGAGTCATTTTGAACAATTATTGGAAAATATAACTTTTGGCACTAAAAGTATTGACTAAGATAGGGTTTGAGAATGCCTATGAATTTCAGTGATTCTTATTTTTGTCTCTATCACTCTGAATGTTTGTGATTGTCTGAATTAATTGAAGCTGGATGGAAAAATGCATCCTTCCAAAATTTAACATTAAAGATACTAGCAAATGTGAAAAATTAGGAGGATTTTTAAAATAACGTTGTATTAAATGTTTCAGGCAAGTTTCAAATACTTCAAAAACTATAGTGAATTTGAATGACTAAATAATTTTGTAATTATTAATATAGATAAAAATGTTCTAGTGTTAATTTAACATAGTATAAACTATTAACTACATGTATTTAAGGAAACATAGTCAAATTCATGTTATATATATTTTTTAAATAGCTTATTTAATTGACTCTCATATTGGGTAAAATCATAGTCATTATTTTGGGGATGTAGTAAGAAAAGAAAATGAAGGAAGCAGAAAACTAGATAATGTTTTATACATATATATCTTTTTAATTTTTACTTTAATCTCAGGCCTAATAGAAATTGTTTCTACCAGAAACCATACCGGCAAATCTACACCACTTGCTTTAATTATTTTTCCACTTTAAACTAGTTTGTTATTTACTTCAGGTGTTAGCCCTGGTATTTGTAAGAAAGTTGATGGACTTGTTGTTCACGAAGCGGGAACTCAGCTGGTTGGATGATTTAATGCCCGAGAGTAAGAAAAAGAAACTGGAAGATGCTGAAAAAGAAGTAAGAGCAAAATCAATGTTTTGTAAAGAAAGAAAAAAGGAACATAGTAATATTTCTTTGCAAAACTAAATTATTGTTTTTATCTCTATACAGTTGTGTCTTTAGACAGTGATCACTAATAAACACAAGTAGACTAGTTTGGAAGTTTAATGTTTAAAATCATAAAGATGTGAACAGAGAGAGAAAGAAGATCTTACAGGAGGAAACCAAATCCTAATGAAATACAGAAATACCTTGTACTAACCCTCCAAATTGTAAGGCTCATTTTTCTGATTCCTCCCCCATGGATGGCAGAAACTTGCTGATACTTAACTATTTCCAAATTATGATCGTGCAGTCATTGTTTTGTTGTTACATATGTGAGAACAAAAAGAAGAGACGTTATTACTGTTGGCATTTTCCTAGGGAACAGAGTTTTAATCAAAATATTCTAATGAAGAATTATTTATTCTTGAAATAGGTGAAATGTTTACTAGGAAAAATGTTGATCTGATTTGCTTTTGAAGTGATTTAAGATTGAGTAGATGTTGGAGAAACTTCTGGAATTTATTTGTACAGGCTACTTACTTATTTTATTCTATTTTATATGGTATAACAATGTATTTTAAGTTTCATGGCATATTTAAAGTTTATATCTAAGCCTGAGTCTATTTTGAAAGCTACTTAATCAACATTTTTTTTAAGTGTATAAAAATTACAAAGAGTGTAAATGAGGGGAGAATAAGAGCCCATACAATGTAAAACACAACAAAATTTTCACATAAATAGAAATGAAATTGAAATAAAATATTCAATGAGAATTACGTTATTTTTCTCTATAAGTAGTCAGTAAATGTATCAACTTTCTATTTGCTCAAACCATAGATATATCTCCTATTTCCTTTGGGAAATTCATTTGCAGATGTTTCGGAGGTCTTAGTCATTTAGTGAGGTCAGATCAGGCCATAAATCAAATGAGGTTTTTTTCTCAGAAATTTCTACCAGTATGGCTACATAATGTGTGACTGGTAATTCCCTTACTCTACATGGTGTTCTATCACTGACAATGGATTCCCACAGATAGATTCATCATCATGATGATGTGTCTTAATTCTGTAAGAATATTTCAATTTTTCCAAATATTGTAGACGGCAATACTTAGAATCATACTTCTAGTAATATTAATGTTAACACTAAAGATCATATTATACAATTGTTATTACTTGTTTCTATTTGATATATTCTTATTTAGATATTAGTGCTTTTTAAAAAAAATAATACTTTGAGTCAGGCGCGGTGGCTCATGCCTGTAATGCCAGCAGTTTGGGAGGCTGAGGCAGGCAGATCACGAGCTCAGGAGATAAGACCCAACATGGTGAAACCCCATGTCCACTAAAAATACGAAAATTAGCTGGGCATGGTGGCGCACACCTGTAGTCTCAGCTACTCAGGGGGCTGAGGCAGGAGAATCACTTGAACTGGAGGCAGAAGTAAGCCTGGTGACAGAGCGAGACTCCGTCTCAAAAAAAAACAACTTTGACTAGGATATTTTGATAGTCTCTATTTCTTTTTAGGGCTTTAGTAAATGTTTGCTTTCATCCTCAGATACTCTTCAAGAAAAATATAGTATAATTTGGCACAAGTTAAATTTAAATAAAATGGACACTAGGACACAGAAATACTAAAACCTTAAATTATCCGTATTTGATGTAAATAAAATTATTGACATCAAACACAATACCCAAGAAGGTTTAAATTAATTTAATTTTGATGAAAAAGCTCTTGGCTATGAGCTTCCCTTCCAGTCTTTTTGATAATGTCAGTACAGCAGACCCTTGAATAATACAGCATTTTTAATAATGTTGATGAAAAAAAAAAATCCCTGGCCAGGGCCACTGTCTGTATGGAGTTTGCACATTCTCCTCATATCTGTGTGGGTTTTCTCTGGACACTTCAGTTTCCTCCCACATCCCCAAAATGTGCCCATTAGGTTCATTGGCGTGCCTACATTGGCTCAGTGTGAGTGAATGTGGGTGTGTGTGTGAGTGTGTGCTGCAAGGGAATAACGTCTTGGCCAGTCTTAGTTCTCATCTTGTACCCTGAGCTGCCAAGATAGGCTCCAGCCACCCTCGACCTTGAACTGGAATAAGTGAGTTGGAAAAGGAATGAATAAATGAATATAAATGACTGTAAAATAAAAATTCATCAAGTATACGAAAATCACACAAATGTACAAGAACAATTTGGTATGAAAATGCTCAGTGAACACAGCCATATTGCTATTGTTTTTGAAGTGCTTGGTGGTAGGTTGTGCTCCTTACAATTTTCACTTTGCAAACATTTATTCCTTGATTTGATCCATCCCCACTATGACCTCAGTCATTCACTGACTCACCAGAAATTTGTTAATTCAATATCTTACGTGCTTTTATTAATTTTTCTTACATTTGTATAGCTCACATTTATTTCAATGTTTAATATTAAAAACATTTTGGGTCTTTAGTTAGAAGTTTGGTGATGTTTTTGTCACCAGAAATTGCCATAGGAATTTAACTCTTGTTTATATCAATTAGCCTGTGTTAAAATTGATTTTATTTGTTCTTTACTTTACTTAATGTCACAGTCTCCAAGAAGCTATCAACAACTTTATGTGAGCACTTACTATACTATTAATTATACTCAAACAGTAACTTACATATGTAATTTTGCTTCATTTTTCTGCTTTTTTTGTTAACTGTTTTTATTGCTTCTGGAAAAAAAAAAGAACACAGCCCCAGACATATAATCATCTCTTTCACAGTATTCTCCTTAGATCATACTCATACCGTGAAATATTCTTGCCTTTTAGAAGTTCACAAAATGAAAAATGATATGTAATCTATTATGTAATGTTTAATATTTTTCTGATTGTAATTCAAAGAAAATTTCAGATTCTCCTTTTATTCTTCTGTGAAATAGGAGAGAACAAGCTTAATAATAATTGTGAATTTATTAGAATTTGCCATTCCCACTTCCCAGAACCACTCACATAGCTATGCATGTATGGTACTTATATGTGTGTGTGCCATATGCCCATTTTGGAATTTATGAATCTCATAGGGCAGAGAACATATGTAATCAGTGTCTAATGTTTTTATGTTATATACCCACTGTACTTTAATGGGCATTTACTGTTCTCTGATTATGAAGGTAAAGATTTTAGAAGTAACTAAATATTAGTAAATTTCCTAGAACTCATGCTTTCTGAAAAGACACAAAAATAGATTAAAGATTTACTGGGCAATTTTACTGTTAAATCCTTCATATCCAAGTTAGAGGGAAAAGCCTCATAGTACATTAACTAGGCAGGTTTATAGATCTTTAAAATCTCAAATGGATTAATATGATGATACTTTCATGTGATCCTCAGTACGTGGAAAGAAACAAGAAAACCAATAATACAGTCAATAAATAATCTATAATTGAACAATAAAATACAGCTCTGACTAGTGCAAAGACAGCTACTTCTTCATCGAACAAGAGAGAAAAAAGGAAGTTTAAAGAGGTTCACTTTCTAGCTTAGAATTAGTATTCAAAGAGTATGGTCAGTAAAGACAGTAGGAAGATTTAGGAAGAACTATACTAAAAGTTCAATTCCTGGTTGATTTTCTACTTGTTTGCCCAGATCTTGGTATTCTATTTTCTTGAGGCTTACAGACTCGGTGGAAGGATGTGATCTTACCGTGGCATCTTATACTAAGGCCCAGTCTTCTAGGAGATTGTGTGTTAAGGTGGTAAATGGACAAGTTCTCCAGAAATGTTGCATTTCTGCAATTGCTCAAATTAATTGAGTAACTTTGATCATGAACTGGCAAGATGGTAAATAGCAGAAATGTCTCAGCTCCCTGAGACTTGAATTTAAAGTAGGCTCACCTCTTGTCCTTTTGATGATAGATACAAGCTTGTACCTTTAGCCTCCAGGGTTTTCCTATCAGTAGCCCACTTCTGGTCTTATGGCACTGAGAAAACATTCATTTGACCTTAAAATTCAATAATGAGTTAAGCAGAATAAATAGCTACACAGGCCAGTCCAAGGTCGCAGAGCTTCTGTTCCAAATTTTCATGTACTTCATGCATATGCATATGCATATGCTTCAGTTTTTAGAAAGAAAGGATTATAATCAGGGTAGAAATGAATATTGGAACCCTGACATTTTGCACATTGCTCTGTGTAAAGGGAAGACTGCAGAATCAAATTCTGGATGTCCAAATGTGCTCAGAGTACCAACATGCCTTCCTTCCTACTTAAATATTCTCTAGGCCATTGTACACATTTGACAAAAGGCTACTTACTGTTAAAGGCAGAAAATCCCAGCAGAATGTTTGCTCCTGGGTAGGAGGAAAGAGGGTTAGTGTTGGATAAATCCTAGAAATTCTACTCTGTGGAAGTGATCATGATAGTGATACTTCTTGATTTACTGGGGGTTCACTCTAACATATACACTATAGGGGAAAACAAGAAGAGGGCAAATGGGAACCTGTGATCCCAATGCAGGATCATGAAAAAGGCCAAGAAAACATAAAAGCAATCAAAAACAAGTGCAACCAAACAAATTACAGAGGATGTCTTACTGCTAAGATAGATCAGAATTGGTTATGGATATGGAAAGCATGGCCAAATTATTACACAGAGAAATGCCATTTCTAATTGAATCTTAGGGTGGGGCAAGTATATTCTTCTTCCATAAGCAGTGGTTGCCCAAAGTGTGGTTCCAGAACCACTGTCACATCAGCCAACACCTGGCAACCTAGAATGCAAATTCTTGGGCGTTACTTCAGACCTATTGATTCAAAACTCTGGGGATGGGGCCAACCATCTCTGTTAATAAGACCTCCAGGTGATTCTGGTGCTAAAGTTTGAGATAAGTCCTTTCCTAAAACCACAGAATCAAATATAATCTTCTAAATACAAGAATACTCTATCAGAATTTTTTGCTTAACAGTAATTTACGTAATTACTTAGAGAGACAGAATCAAATATTCTGATGAAAAATATATGTCACATTTATGTATTGATATAAACTCTATATGGGCCCTCCATTTTTCCTTTTCCACTTTCATTGTTAGTCTTATGTATTGGCTCTTCTATCCATTGGAAATCATAAGTAATACCTGTTATAAAAATAATACTTGAAGTTTTCAAAGATTATATGTTTATGTAATGTTTGCAGCATTGTCTATTCTATTAGTAGCTGAGGAAGAAAATGGTTTGACACTTCTATGTTCTGTAGACTTTGTTTTACTCTTGGGCAAAATAAAAGGGTTGAGCTTAATTTCTGAAGAATCTTCCATTTCTTAGGATGTGAATTCTAAAATTGCTGAATATTTTCCCTCTCTAACACTCTAAGCATACTTGTGAATATTGGTCTCTGCTGCCGTTGTTTGTACTTTAAAATATTTGAGGGCTCCTACATAGATACACACTGTGTCTGAAAATGGATGTAGCTGTAAATGTAACCTATTTCACTAAAGGTAATTAAAGGATAACTATCTTTGTTATTTGTTAGGTATCATGATATATGAATCATAATTTTAATGCTATCACTAAATACAATTCAAATTCATGATGTAATTCGATACATAACACCCTACTATCAGACCACACCAGGATTTGTCTTCAATTTATCTCTTCCGCCTCTACTCAGCACAGACTTTTGGCTCCAACCAGGCTCGTTGTTCACTGTCATGCAAACACATCTTATTTATTCCTCACTTTTAGGGTTGGCCTACGTTGTTTCCTCCCACCTAGAGTTTCTTCCTTGCTACCACCTTGACTTTGGTACTTTTCATAATGATCCCTTAAATTTTCTGAGAGTCGAGTTTATAGCTTTCTTTTCATTGTTATACACCCAGTACCTAACAGACTACCTGCCCTTGAATGAATTAATAGCCCCTGGATGATTATTCTTGTTAACTATGTGCATAGCACATAATACATGCTCAATAAATATTTGACTGTTCTGGAGTAGACTTGTTTTTCTAAGCCTCAGTTTTCTTGCCCTGTACTGGACGTAGCATTAATTGTCCTTCACTTATTTCATATCTGAAAACTGCTTTGACTATCTTAATTAAAAGGTGACATTTAAATCATAGCATAAACACCCCCCTAGTTAAATTGGTGAACTCTCTCAAAGGTTCTTGGGTAAACTTTCATCATCATCCCCTTAATATCTTCCCCATGTTGTAGCTTCACAGAGAACAATTAAGAGCTGAATGGAACTTGTTTTAAGGTACTTTTCTGACTTCTAAGCTGTCAACTACTCAGCTTTGTGCTCTCACTGTCTCTTTCTTTTCTGATCTGATTGAGATAACCTAGGTTGTGGCTGTCGTGACGGCTACTGCCTGATTTGACTGCTCCTCCTCAGAAAGCCTCAATTTTTGGCTTTCTCACAGTGCTGCCGGGATGCAGCCGGCCCTCCATCCCCGCGCTCCGGGGCCCACCCAGCTTCCTTCTGGCACTGAAGGCAGCGGCTGCTCTGCCACCCTTCTCTTCAGATAAGCATGGCTTGGAAAAGCTATCTTTAGAGGTGATGAGTTTTTGTTTGGATAGAATTATGACTAGTATAAAGCCCACACATGCTAACAAGCCACAGAGTGCAAAATAATTATTGAAAGCAATTTGAGAGAAAAGTGGAAAATCATCTGAAGAAAAACCAAAATTGTTCCCAAAGCTTTGGTCCAATTTTTTGCTGTTAGATTGAATCTTGAACATTTGTTTTCTGCTGCCAGGTAACCTAAGCACCAACAGCACTGTTCTTCTCTTCAGCTTTTTTTGCATTTTACTCTTTCTTAAACCATTCTACCTTGCTTCTTGACATTTTACTCTTGATGAGCCAGAAATGTTATCATATACCAGGCTTCACCTTTCAGTGGGCAACCAAGGAAAGAATTGCATCTTGTCTTTGCTTATGTAGCCTTTGGTATCACTGAGTGTCTACTTTTTATGTCCCTCCATGTATCTTAAGATAACCTTTGCTATAGATAAAGGAACCTTTTCTACCTGAAATGATACATATGCTCTGCCCATGACTGCCAGGATGTGCCTACAAGATATATTATGTATGTAATATATTTCATATATTATGACTAACTCAGTTGAAGGCAAGCCTCAATCTAGGCTGCAGATCAGCTCTGCTAAAATGCCTGAATGGATGATTTCAAACCAATGGTAATCTCCGTTCACCTTGACTTAGTTCTGATAGTGTGGCCAAATGACAAGGAGAATAGGCACAATATACAAGTAGAATACATTTGATAGGCCATAAAAGAAAACTTTCTCCTTGAAGAACAGCAAAGAGAGAAAATAAAATTAGTTACCAGAATGCAAAAGGGTAATGCACATGCCATTAGCTTCACAGAGAACAAATACAACATAGGGTTTCTGGGGAAAGCTTCTAAGCATGGAAGTAGCAGAGCTCATGCAGTCTCTGGCATCTCCATTATCCCGAAGCATAGAGCGGGCATAGAGACTCCATATGCACCACAGCCAAAGTCCCAGGAGAGAGGAGCTTTCCTTGACCAGCATGGGAGAGTACTCCAAGAGAGAAATGAGATCTGCTCCCACATTGCATTGTATGTTCATAGGTTAGCTGAAGAGGCACTAGAAAACACTTGTTTCTTTAGGTAACAAGAAATATGGCATGGAATATTCAGACTATGGGATATCCGAGAGGGGATCAAGGTCTGATTACCAAGGACACTAGGAAAAGTCTTACATGCCGGGAATAATAAAATCAGCCAAAGATCAAGGTGTCTCCGGAAGCTGGTTCACGCCGGCTTAGCTCTGCTAAGCTACTGAAAGAGGAAATGAGCCTTTGGGGTCATCCCTATTTTCTTTCATCAGTTTCTATTTGGGCAGCGGGTCAACTCGTTTTTTATTTTTATAGATCTTAAAATTCCATTTCTGGAGTTAGAACCAGTAGTTCTAACATTTTAAATGGCCTGAAGTAATTATCTGAACTGACCCATTTTTAAATAAATGTATTAAATAAAAGCTATAATCTATGAATAGCTGTCTTTTTTTGGTTCATGGAAAGATTTTGATGATAACATTATTTGAAAACGAAACCAGAATTTTTTGGTATGGTAGCCATAAGATTATCTTCATCCCAAAGATTTAGTTTTAAAATGCTATGTATGAAGAAATGCATGTATGAATATAAAAATCATTTCCACCCTTTGAGGAAAGATGGAATATTGTCATTATAAGAAGAAAGTTGAAGTGTGAAACAAAAGCCTAAAACACATCCAAATGGAGTCAAACCTTCCATTTCCTCCTCTCTCAAGACACATCTGTGTTTTGATCCATACAGGAAGATATTAGTATCTTTTACTGTCTCCTTCCAACTCTCTAGAGTAGTGGTTCTTTAAATATGGTCACCAGACCAGCATAATCAACATCACCTGGAAACTTGTTAGAACTAGAACTTCTTATGCCCTCTATACTCCAGACTTATGGAGTCAGATCTTCTGGGGAATATTGCTAACAAGCCCACCAGGGAATTCCGATGTAAACTGAAGTTTGAGAACCACTGTTCTGAGTACATCCGTCACCCCCTCCTCATAGAACATTCCAGGAATATAATTTCACCTTTATAACAATAAAACTGATTATATCACCCATACTTTTTTCTTATGAAAATTAGATTAATTTTTTAAAAGTATGCTTAGAAATTAACATGTTTTTTATTGAGTGACATGAAGGAGATTGTTGTTAGCATTTAAATTACTTTGTGTTATGAGACTCTCATTAATTACTTATGTTCTTGGTAGCTGATACTTTATTGAAAGGACCTATGCTAACATTAATAAATGCAAACAGAGTGGAAGGTCTTGAGGTTAATGAGATAATGAAACATTAATCTGTGTTTCTTCTTTAATGTAAAATGGAGACTCATCAGGTTCACTTTATACACTTTACATTTGTCTTTTCAGGAAGAACAAAGTATGCTAGCTATGGAAGATGAGGGCACAGTACAACTCCCATTGGAAGGACACTATAGGTAAGACATAAATTTAAAAACACATCAATTTAAGTAATGCATTGTTATATAATTTATTTAAGAATTTCATACTGTGTAGATCCTCAGAGAGGTTTCTTGAATTTGTATTAGAGTAGAAAGAACTAAGAGTTAGATAACCTGGGTCCTACTACTAAGTTTTGCCAATAATAGGTGTGTGACTATAATCAAATTGCATTACATGAAGTGAAGCAGGAAGCTGTTGTCTGAAGTCTTTCCTTCTCCTGTTTTATAATGTGTATGGAAGATCCCTTTCATATTCTCAGAAAGTAGCACCAGAAGACAGATCAAGGGTCATTTCTGGTATAAATGACCTAGGTATTCACTAAGTTGATCACAATTAAATGTTTTATCTCTGGGAATTTGCCCCTAAAAAAAGGAATTTCCAAAAAGATAATCTATTTCTTAAGTTAAATGATTCAGTCATATCAGTCATTTTAGGAAATATTTATGCAATTCTCCAAAATTTGCTCATCTTTATGTACAAAGACATAGCAAAAGAAAGCAAACTACTGAAGTTATAAAGAAAACATTTGCAAACATTTGGCCCAAAATTCTCCCCTCTCTCTCTCTTCTCTGTCTCCCTCTCAATATAGTTTAGTTTAAATAGTTTTCTTGTACAATTCTAAGTATCAATTAGTGCCCAATTTTACAGTCTCAAAGTCTTTATGAATAATTTCAGGTTATGCCAATAAAAATGCAGACTTTTTCTGAGAAGGGAATTTGTCATAGTGTTAAAAACCAAAATAGGAGAGAATTTTCTGAATCTTTAGGGTTTGACTCTAAAATCATATTCCCTAGAATTAAAAAAAAAAAAAATCATCTCCCACTTAAGAGGGAAAACAAGTATAAGATGTTTTACCTTTTTTTTTCTTTTTTACAACATTTAAATTTTAAAATCCTGTTGATTGTTTAGTTGAACCAGCATATTTCCAAGTGTATTCAATAGAAACCTAGTCTCATGTGGTACCACTCTCAAAATGGCTGTGTGGTTAAATAAATTTGAAAAAAATGTTCCAAGCTGCACTCCAGTTTGAAGATTCACAATGCATATTAGCATATGAAACAATCTAAGTAGTGCTGCATTTAAAAAAAATTGTATAGCTGCCTTCAATCAAGTATTTTTAAAAAATTTTTGCTCAGAAGACTCTTCCTCACATAATATCATGAAAAATGTCTATTCCACTTGATGCTTTTTTTAAGAAAGTAGTCAATCTGATGCTTTGAATTACCAGGAAACTATCTTTCTATGAAGACCAAAACAGTTGGAGGGTTTAGAGGAACTGAAGAACACGTTTCGAGATTGGGCAAGAGAGGGAGACCCAAGGTTTTGCCCCTCTTAAAAGTTGCATTTGTTCCTCTCTTGTGACCTATCACCAATCAGGGTCATATGAAAAGGTGGCATTTGAACAAAGAAGGGGCAGAGTTGCTCCATGTGAAGGGACATGATGAGCAGAGGGAAGAGCAAGGACAAGGCCCCCAGGGAGCACTATGCCCATTGTGTTCCTAAACAGTCAGGAGGCTACTGCATTGGTGCTGGAAAGGAATGAGCAGGGGTGCAGTGGCAGAAGGTGAAATCAGAGTGAGGTGGGGACAGAGCCTTTAGGCCATTATAAGGACTTGGCATTGACTCTGAGTGACTGGGAGCCACTGCAAGGTCTGAGCAAAGGAGGGAAGTAATCTGGATTTTATGATGTTAGGGGCAAGAGTTTAAGCAATGGACATGTGGAACCCATTCTCTGTAGTTTGAAATGAATTAAGAATACCACAGGCCAAATCAGTATCCATACAACTAGCATATTTTCTTTAGATTTTTTTATTTTTCACAGATTGTTTTCAATAATTAAGAGAAATATTCAATACTTCTTCATTTTTAATTATCAAAAATACTGTACAATAAACAAATTGGGGCATATACATACAATGGAACATTATCCAGGTTTAAAAAGGAGGAAATTCTGACATATGCTACAACACGGATGAACCTTGAGGATATTATACTAAATGAAATAAGCCAGTCACAAAAAGACACATACTGTATGATTCTGCTTATATGAGGCACTTAGAGAAGTCAGAAACCTAGAGACAGAAAGTGGAATGGTGGTTGCCAGGGACTGGAAGGAAGAGGAAATGGAGAGTTATGGTTTAGTGGGTACGGAGTTCCAGTTTTATAGGATAAAAAGAGTTCTGGAAATGGACGGTGGTGATGGTTGCACAACATTATGAATGTATTTAATAACCCTGAAATGTACTTTTAAAAATAGTTAAGGTAGTACATTTTATGTTGTGTGTATTTTACCACAATTTAAAAATTGGGAAAAATGCTCTTCATAGATACATGATTTTCTTATATTTAGTTTCTGTCATTGAAAAACTGCAGTTACTATGTAATGCTTATTATTTCATTTGGGGAAACTCCTGTCTAGAGATGATCCATCTGTGATCAATATATCTGATGAAATGTCAAAGACTGCCTTGTGGAGGAACCTTCTGATCACTGCCGATAACTCAAAAGATAAGGAGTCAAGCTTTCCTTCTAAAAGGTTTGGATTTTAAAATAATAAGAATTTATACTAATTCCAGTTGTTTTTTGACATAAACCATAAGCAAAAGAATAATATTGGTTTCCATCAAATTTAGATCTAAAATATTCCAGAAAATTCTTTCTGAAAGTGGGTATAAATTGTAATTGTTTCAAATGTTGGTATGTTTTTCAACATCTCCTTTTCAAATTAATAACTTACTCCAAAGCTATTACTGTGGTGGGGGAACTGTGCTAGAAATGAGTCACAGTGCATGACATTTTTGGACATTCATCTTGGCCTACTATTTTTCAGTATGATTTTATTTTATTCCCTCATCACTCACTTCCCCTAGGACCCCTTTAGATGTCTGGCCACATTTTGCACTCCCTTATTTTCCCTTTTTTAGACTGATATGCATTGTGTGTGTTTTTATATTTATATTTTATAAATATGCATAAATGTTTATATTTAGTGTAGCCCTAGTCCTGATTCCAACCCCCTGAAAAGTCTTCCCTAAACTTCTTATCCCAAAACTTTCAACTCCTAAAAGTTCTATCCATTCTTACTTCTCTGTATGTAAACGTACAAGCAACTCCTGCAGTTGTGGATGGTAGTTTTAAGTGCATGCTGGGGGAAGAGTGTGTCCCTAAATATCAACAGTCATCATAGGATTTCCAGCGGAGTTTTCCAGGATTTATAAATAAGAGTTCAAATCACCCAGTCTTCTTAGATGCTGATCTGAAGAAAAAGGAATTCGTATGTTTTGCTAATATCTCTTTTTGTTAGAGAGTGATTGAGGGATTTGGGGCAGTGTTTACTATAATTATTAAGTTCCTTTATTTTCGTAACCTTAAATTAACTTTTTCTACTTAATTTTTATATTACATTTTTGTCATAAGCTCCCCTTCCTAATCACTCTAGAAGCTGATTCCCCAAAGGTAAGACCCTCTCCCTCAAACCTATTCCTTGGTTGCATTTCCTTATGTTAAATGGTGTCTTCTAGAAACCTGGTCAGTCTATGTCCTCTGTGTGAGTTTTGAGTTTTGGGGAGGCAAAAGGCATGGAGAGTGTTGGGCTCAGGTCCAGTAGCAGACTAAGTTTGATGGTATTTCTGTAACGACTCAGCTCTTTAAGTTAGTCTGAAACTTGAATAAACTTTATTCCTTCCTTGATTTATACAGATGCATCATGTATAATCAAAAAGTTTCACAGAACTATAGTTAGTAATGACATCAAATTTATGGATAGGGAAAATTAAATTTGTCCCTTTAAGAGATTGAAAAGCTCACTGGGTGCAGTGGCTCATGCCTGTAATCCCAGCATTTTGGGATGTCAAGGTGGGCGGATCACTTGAGGTCAGGAGTTCAAGACAAGCTTGGCCAACATGGTGAAATCTCCTCTGTACTAAAAATACAAAAAATACAAAAAAAAAAAAAAATAGCTAGGCATGGTGGCGGATGCCTGTAATCCCAGCTATTTGGGAGGCTGAGGCAGGAGGATCGCCTGAGCCCAGGAGGCAGAGGTTTCAGTGAGCTGAGATTGTGCCACTGACTCCAGTCTGGGCAATAGAGACTCTGTCAAAAAAAAAAAAAAGAGAGAGAAATTACAAAGCTGAGAGCCTCCATTATGTACCACCATGCCTCCAAACTGGCAAGCTGTATCTCACTTCATGAGACATCACTGGAAACAGGGGCAAGAGAAAGAGGCTACATTAGATTTGGAGAATATATCTCTTATTGCTGGTTTTTGTCACCCCAAAATGGCATGCTGCTTCAGTGTCATCTCTATACCAAACAGTATGAACAAGACAAGACAAACAGCAGGTGTATAGACTCTTCATCCCAGAAGCTGGGAATTAGTTCTCTCTCTCTCTGTCTCTCTCTCTCAACCACCTTTAATATTTACTACAAATGAAGATAATATATTAATAAATAACTCAATGGGCTTCCTCTCAAAGGCTTTTGGTTGGTGTTTTCTGTCTTAATAGGACTTTAAAATTTTCATGTATTTCTTTGCTTGGCTCAGGACAAAGTAACATTTTATTCTAAAACATGCTATAACTTCCTTTCTCAAAGATCCTTGCTACAGTTCTGATAAATATTTCTCATAGTAATTCTCTGTTTTGCTAGTACTTTTGAAGAAAATCAGAATTATGATAAGGGCAGTTTCTCAAGCCCATTGCAATGTGTACTTGTCACTTGAAAAATATGACATTTTTCTGATTTAAAAAAAAAAAAAGTTAAATCCAGGCTTATGAGCTCAAAATAAAATGCCCTTGATGGTCAATATGTGGAGAATTTGAAACAATCAAACCTGTAAAATATTTTCTTCCTGTATTAAATGGATTCAAAGTCCAAACTTTTCCTCTATTTTTCTTTGGTTCTAGCAAAAGTCTTGTGACATGATATTTTAACTACTCCTTAAAGTCAATTGATACTCTTCACCAGAAAAATCTTTTTGTTTTAAAAATATGTATCTAGATGACTTTACACAATGGGTTGACTCTAGTGAACAATATAATGTGCTTTAAAGGAGGTCCAATTTTCAATAGACTATCCTTTATCTTTAGATGGAACTACTTGTTTCTTATTATTTAAATGTATTTTCACTAATGTGAGGTTCAAACTATTGTAGAATGAAAGTTTATCCAGCTTTCCTTATGTTTTGATGTGATCGCATTTGTGGTTTTCCGTGTGAGAAACATCCTTGGTAGGTAGTTAATCTCTTTTATCCTCATTACAGTAGAAACTCTGGCAGAAAGTGTATGACTTACAGAATTCTAAAACCACTGATACTAATAAGGCTCCCAAAGCCACTTCCTTTTCATGGTATCTGTTAAAGGCTTTAAAACATCATGACCAGGAGCTGTGAAAATTTAGTAAATTTTAGTAGAGTAACTGGTAGAGTATCCATTGGCAAAAAGAGGCCCAAAGAGCAGGTTACTAGGATCTGTATCTCCTGAGTCCTGAGCTGGCATCCATGCAACCTTTGACACCCCCCGTTCTGAGTTATTTTCCATCCTGTGCTATAATATGTGTCAGAGAAGCCTAGAAACCTGTTTTCATGGAATTTTGAATCCAAGTTATATTTTCTCAATTATATCATTCACTTTTTGTTGTCAAAAATATTTTATCTAGTTTAACTGACAGTAGAATCTGAGAACTAACTGCAAATTCTGTCTTATCTGGAGGATGTCTAATTTTGATCGTGATGTCATACATATGTGTGACAAGAGCTTCTGCAGCGTATTAAATGGGCTGGTGAAAATAGGGCTCATTAATGACCACATTGCATCAGAACAGGTTGACAACTGATCCATTTGATAAAACCCATACCCAAGATCAGTGTGTCTGGAGCAGGTCCTTGGCAATGTGAGGAAAAGCAGCACTTAGCTTTGCCTTGGTGACAGAGGCTAGTCTCTGGGACTATCTGCTCTACCCCCCAACACCCACTCCTGCACTCCCCCACCACCTTTTTCTATCCCACATTCTCTTTCTTTGCAATGATTTCGTAGGCTTGGGCTCTCTCATGACTTCTTGGAAATATTATTCATAAAAACGACTTTAGGCTGGGTGTGGTGGCTCACACCTATAATCTTAGCACTTTGGGAGGCCGAGGCTAGCGGATCACTTGAGCTCAGGAGTTGAAGACCAGCCTGACCAACATGGTGAAACCCCATCTCTACTAAAAATACAAAAATTAGTTGGGTATGGTGGTGCACACCTGTAATCCCATCTACTCAGGAGGCGAAGGCAGGAGAATCACTTGAATCTGTGAGGCGGAGGTTGCAGTGAGCCAAGATTGTGCCACTGCACTCCAACCTGGGCAACAGAGCAAAACTCTGTCTCAAAAACAAACAAACGAAACAAAAACAAACAAAAAAACACTATTTTAGTGACGTTAAAAAGTAATAGTTTCATAGTTTACTTAGCACCAGGTCACTTTTTGCCCTCTCTTAAAATATTACTTCCTTATATTTTAAATTTTAACTCCTCAAAGGCAGGGACACTCTTATCTATCTTGTATTCCTAGGTCATTGTGGAGTTCCTGGCATATAATAGATATGCAATGTATGTTTATTACGATGACAGATAACAGATGCATAATACATGCCTGTTACAATGAAAGCTTAAAATTGATTGACCTCCACAAAAGTGAACGTAACAAGTAATTCAGAACAATAGATCCTAGAGGTCTTGAGCTGGTTATAAAATTTCTGCTTCATAGTTTGTGAAATCTAATCTGATACCAAAACTATGGTTATGATGAAGAGGGAAAAAAAAACCCAGTCTTTTAATAGGTTATCGTTTTTGTAACCAAACCACCAAAGCAAGGAATCAGGAGGAAGCACATCTGTGGATCAAATTGATATTATGAATATTTTTATTTACGGCTTGGTGACTAATAGTGCCACTTGGAACACATTCATTTATCAAAAGGTTGTGGAACACCTCCTACGTTTCAAAGTATTGTGCATGCAATAATTGCACATGTATAGAGACCAGTATGTTTCTGTCCTATAATCTCCTACAGATAGGATCTGTTATTCTATCTTTCAAAAAAAATAAGAGTTCATTGGAATTGGGAATACCAGCCTCAGAATTCTGGAATTCACACTACAAGAGAACCTAGAAGCCATCTAGTCCAAAACCAGTTTTACAGATGAAGAAACCAAGTCTCAGAGAGATTAAAAAACTAGTCCAAGGTCGTGCAGCTCATTCTGAGCTTCTGAAAACTGAACCTAGATCTTCCAACACCCAGCCCAGTGCTGCCCTTTTTCATTGACTTTGTTTGGCAGAAGAGACTGGAAGGCAGGTAGAGCTTAAGGAAAAGTTAATTTGGAAAGCAGGAGAGCAGACACTTGTCATATAAAAGGAACTTAAAGTAGAAGAAAGTGAGTCATACAGATAGAGGAGTTAAAAATACGAGTTAAGGCTCTCAACACATCATGTGCACACTGTCATCTTTTCTCATGGAAGGAGAAAAGAAAAGGGAGAAAAGTTGCTTTGCTCTGACCTGTAAGTAGTATGTGCTGAGAAGTGTGGCAGGCACAAACCCGGGCGCCATAGACACGCGCTCACACCAGCTCTCAGAGCTGGCAGCGTGCCACAGATGGCAGAAGCTCCGGCACTTCTTACCTGATGGTGCCGGGTGGTGGTGACAACTGAGAAGGGCTGTTTCTAGCTTGAATTGGAGGAAAAACAATTTAAAAAACATACTCTTAGAATGTGTCTAAGTTATTGACCACTTAGAAAGCTGCACAGGAGTCCCAATAGAAAAATGGAGTTTTATTACTTTATTACTTGGAGAAGAGTTATAAAACCAAGGGTGCGGCCCATCATCAAGTGTTTCATAAATTTATATTAAGGGCCGAAGTTAATAGTAAAAATGTATGGATTTTTCCAGCCCAGGGCCTTAGTAGCTGGCTATGGGCTGCCCTTTGTGTCAGCAGTGGGGAGGATCACAGAGAAGCCTCAGATGAGGAGGGTTTTGCTGTGCGCTGCAAGTATCAGGGAGAAAGCATTTCTGCCCTCTCTGGAACATGGTGTGAACTTCATCCCTGTAATGACATTATTTGAATTTTCCATGAAAACTGTCAGCATGAGAGTAAGAAAACTATACAATGGAAAAACCAAATGGACAAATAGACAAAAATGGTAGAGTCACATGACCAGTTTGCTCATTGGTAAAGTTAATGAGAGGGTGAGATTAAACAGAAGCCATTTGGGAATGAGTTTATCTGAGAATGAATGAGTTTTATGAGAAGCATCATTCCTCTGATGTACAGGGTAAAGGTTTGTCTGTAAAAAGATAGCACAGGTGTCTGGAGAGCAGCGTGCATGGTACCCTGTCCTCCAGGCCAGTGGAGCTGTCTGTCTAACCTGGTCAAGGTACAGTCTTCATCAAAGGTCAAGATCCAGTCCATGCACAAGAGAGGAGCCATTTGCAGCAGAGCTCAGAAATGCCTCCTGCGACATCTTGTTTGTGTCATTTACTAGAGTTGGCGCTGTCTTAAGTTGGGGGCATGGCTGGCATTTCCAACAATCATCAGTGAGTCACTTGCCCAAATGAGGACCATGGTATTAATCTTGCATGTTTCTGGAACTGTTTAAAAAATGTCTGATTTTTGTTGTTTATTGTCTGTTTTTCAATATCCCCTTCTCTGCAGTTCTCGGTTTCTATCTCACTGAGTGCAGAGGATTTTAATTGTTGCTGTCTATCTGTGCTTCGCAGCATGAGAGAGCAATGCCTAAGGGCTCTTGTGGTGCTTTGGGGTTGACGGGTTTTAAGTCTGAGCAAGCAGATCTCATTGTAGCCATGCTGGATTGCAGTAATAAATGTCTCCTTTTTTTCCTTTTGTAGCATTGAAAGCCGAAAAGAGAAGAAAGCTGACTCAGGGAAAGGTGTTGACAGGGAGACTTGTCTATGACTCGATCTTCAATTTATTTTTTACATATATATGAGAAGAGTGTCACAATTATTAATAAAACTGCTTTGATCATGTAGTGTAAATTCTGTCCCTCAACCCAAATCCACCTTCACACTGTAAGTAGTGCAATACTTGTTTCATTTCTGTGTTTAAACTTCTGAGCAGTGAGACACCCCTGCGAGCAGATACAATAGCCAAGGCAAGAATCTGTGTGTTCCTTGCTGTACCTTAGACATTTGTAAACTGGATTCTGATTGTCAGTTTTATGAGAGCAATAGCTTCCTTAAAGAGATAAGTCATATTTACCTAGTTTGTATTTTCCTACTTTAGTGACCTGAAGATGCCTGATAATTTCATTCAGAAGAATTTTTGAAAGGTTGTCTTACTTCTTTTTAGTTTTTATAGCTTAGTGTTAGTGACTTATTTCAAAAGACCCAAATCAAAAAGTTAGTTTGAAAGCATTTTTTAATAATTGTATTTATGCATTTCCTTGATTTAATATGATACATTTAATACTTAACAATTTGTATGTAACTAAAACTTAAAGTCACTTGAAAAACTATATAGAAACCTATTTACAACTTGTTAAGGAGAATCAGACATAATGCAGAGTTAAGTAGTATTTGCTTAAAATTCAAGTTGTGACTAATGATCAAATACTAGGCTTGTACGAAATGCTTTAGAAAAACTTTGTAACGGTTTTGTGGGATTTTTCAATATAAACCTTTATCAGAAATATGCTAAGTTTGTCTCCCACTGACAACAGATGTTTTCCAAATAAACATATACTTGTGGAATGCCACATGGTGAATCATTGTATGTGAAATTCCACTCCTGTACAGTTACTCTGCGGCTAATGGTCATGCACTGCTTAATGCTGATCCTGAATCATGTTCTCATGTTAGACCAACAGGTGTCCAATTGTCATTTTTTCCTGCAGTTTTTTTTCCACTTTTAAATTAAATGCATGTTGTGGAAAAACAGTCTTTTAAAAGAAAATTTCAGATTCTATTTGAGAAGGTTCTGTAGATATTTCAGTCCATATAAAATAATACATCTTTACTAAACTTATATAAGGGGAGAGAAAGTTAAGAAGTTTTGGACATTACTAAAAATACAGTATTTCATTTCACTTTCAATGAATGTGAAGTTAATAAAACTAAATCTCATAATGCTCTTGCTTCCTAAGAATGAGCAGTAATCATCAACTTTATAATACTCCAATATTCCGTTACAATAATTCAGAGCCCTGTGGCTTTTACAGACTGTTAATTATGTACTCTGCTTGGAAGTGCACATGAAAAGTGAGGAAAAGTTCCGCTTGTGATTAAACTAACGAGAGGAAATAAAATCGACAAAGCCTCCATTAAGTTCTACATTTTGATACCTTTTAAAAATTCCCCTCACAATTCTTTAAGGAGCCCCCCTTTTTATGGAACATGAGCCTAAAATTTATAGAAAGAAGAATTTTAAGTTAATAAAGTTCATATTTATAAGTGCTGAAAAAATACAGAAACTTTCTGTTCCAAATGTGTTGCCTTTGTGTATTTTATAATACAGATACAACATTGTAAACATTTTCATTGTTTTATGATTTAGCCAGTGATTCCCCAAAGCAGTCTCTTAGTGTTTTAATATATTAATAACTGTTCTGTTGAAAATGATCATAGTGAATTTAAATCTTCACATGATCACCTATTTGAATAAGCAATCATATCCAATGAAATTCTGTATTTCTGAGTATTTTTATAGTCAATTTGTTCTTGTGTGAATTTTAAAGCTATCCCTATGTTAATCCTAATATTTTGAAATCATATAAAATATAAGAAAAATGTAGTATTATATATTTACTTCTAATTTCAGATTCCTGGTCAAAATTACTGAATATCTTGAATGTAATTTAGCGAAAAGTTTAAGTAATGTGTAAATGTGACTAGGATATTGTGTTTTTCACAATTAAGAAATGTTATGTGGAAATAAATATTTATCCTAACTAATTTCCTTGCACATTTTAAATTGTGATACAAAGTGTCTTGTCTTTTTTCTTTGTTTTAATTAGTAAATCAGTGTAAAACATTTTGATTGTTTGAATATAATATTTAAATTTAGACACCCTCAAAGCTAAGAACTCTTGGTGATATAAACAATTTAAGAGTATGTTTCAAGAGTAAACAATTTGAACTTTATGAACAGAAGATTATGAGAACTATATAAGGATATATTTACTCATTTTTCCAGAAATGGGTGCAGATGACATTGTTTCTTATGTTAGGAAAAACCTCCAAGGTCGTTAGTAGTATTCCTCATTATTAGAACTCTATTTAGACTTCTGTTTTTAACTTCCATGGGGAAAGCATTTCCTAAAATTTGTCTCCTCCCTGTTTCTTACAAAAGTCAGATGGGACCATTATTCTTTTGGAGCCATCTGGCAGTGTGTTGTGGAGATAATTGCATTCAGAATTCTATCTAACCTACTGCTTGGTATTTTTCTCTTGACTACTGAGTTTACTTTGTAATTGCTCCTGTTTCACAGCCTACAATATTGGGAAGTTTTTTCCTGTATAATGTAATATAGAAATATATAATCTGAATGTCTCCTCGATATAGTTTAAACCCAGAGTTTGATAGAAACTCTCCACTAATGATCCAAAAGCAACTTGTATTTCAACATGATTCCTAGATCTTTTAGGATTTTTGACTTTTAAAATTGTGACTTATTCTGTTTTCTATGGCACTGACCTACCTCTGTTTTGGCTTAACTTTAGCCTATTTGCTCCTGGGCACTTGTCTATTTTACTATCATTGCAAGATTGCGTTCTAATTTTTCTAATATATTAGTATCTATCTCATATATTCACATAATGAAATGAAATCAAATGAGATTACAGGCATTTGAAAGTTTTATGAGAGTCATTTGGATAATATGATGGTTCTCTAAATGTCTACATTGAGAGGCTAATTATAGTTAGTCCCCTTGAAGAGGCCTAATAATCAAAGATTACTGGTAATACTTTTACTTTAGAGATCTCCTTTAATGTTCTCTGTGGAAAGCTGTGGCTAACTGATACAACTGTCACACCAATTCAGTTCCTGTTGGTGTACTGGATACTATCCTTTCTGCTGGTACTTTGAAATAGGACTATGATCCTTGCTTCTAAGGACAGGGTGGATACATAGCTATAAATAATGTGACATGTGCTGAGTTGGTCATATGAGTAAAGCCATTTTTTGAATAGGGCAGAGTTTGAGGAAAACATTATAGAAGAGGTAGCACATGAATTAGAATGGAAATGGGGAAGGAAATATACTCCAGATACTGAAGGAACCCCTGCCCACTAGGCCTCTGATCTAACGAAGTATGACCAGAATGATTCCATCTTGAAGTGAAGAGCCAGAATGCTCTTAAGGCACCTATAAGGTTAATGTTTATGGTCTGAAAACAGCCGCTTTCCAAGCTGGCTACAACCTATTATTACAGAATACTTATGACCATACAGAGCATCTCCCACCATGCCTGCAGAATGTCCCAATGTCCTAAGAATTCAGCCCTCTTTACTTAGAGGTAACATTAATGAACAAGCTTAGGTTAAAAGATTAAGTGTCATGTAATATCAGTCACACCGAAGGCCCCTGCCTTCAGTGAGCATGTAGGCATATTCCAAGTTTCATTGTAGCTCTTTGTAACTCCTTATAAAAGTGGAGGCGCTGACAAAGGACAGGGCATTCCTCCTTTTGCTTCCTGAGGATACCCCACACTGTAACGAAGCAGTTTCTGAAAAACTTGCTTCTTCCACTATGCCGTGGCTTTCCTTGAATTCTTTCCTTTGCAAGATCCAAGGACCCATTTTTGGGGTCTGGATCAGGACCCCTTTTCCAGCAACACCGGAACTGCAAAGATTCTCAAACCTATGTCAGTATTGAAATAAAGATGAAATTTAAAAGTAAAGCTATATGGCATAACTAGAGCCTGGCATATTTTATGTATGGCATATTTGGAACCCAGCAAACAGCCCAATATGGTGGAGTGTTAGAAGGGTAGTGAAGACTTGTAGGAAAAGATAGAAACACAAGTCAGAGACATTACAAATGATGTTAAATTCTATCCTAGAATAGTTGGAATTTTACCCATTAAGAGTTTTGAGTAATGAATTTTGAAATGATTAATAGAGCAGCACAGTAGAGAATATAGTGGGGAAACAGTGGAATTGTCTCCTTAGGAATTTCCCTTCCAGGATGACTCTCAGATGACAAAACTAAGTTTTCATGAGTGATGTATAAATTTGCATTAGGGTAGAAATGAAACAGGCTCAAGTATACTCCTTAGGCACCTAACAAGTAACTCCAGACACAATAGCTTTATTGTAATTACTTTTATGTAGTGCATTCCCTTATATATGGAGATTATATAAATATATTGCACATATTTGTGTATATAGTTGTAGTTGAAAAAAAACAAAGTGTTCTGAAAAGCACAGTGTCCACAGCAAGCCTGAGACTGTTAAACCTAAGCATGGTACACAGTTCAGACAATGACTGCTTCATAATAATCCAGAAACCACCTTCTCTATGCTCACCCTTGAATCCTACCCTACATTCTCACCCTGGACTCAGCTTTCTGTCTGGATCCTCTTGCCTTCTGGTGTGTGTAGTTACATATTTTTTTCATGTGACTTCTTTTTTCCATTGATTTATAAGCCCCTTGAAGGTAGAGATGGTGTTTGGTGTTTTGTCCCTGTTTTGTAACTCTCCAGAGCCCAGATCTGTGCTCTGCTGTTTACCCAGCCAGCAAAGGCTCTTGATGTAATAAGTGAAATATACCAGGAGATTCTGCTGCTCAGTTTATTAAGAGTGATTACAAATCCAAAAGGAATTGTCACTGACATGTCAATATTGGAACACAGCAAATGCTTAATGAGTACCTTCAAGTGCCCAGCACCCGAGGACACAGAAGACCAAGGCAAGAATCTGTGTAATCTATGGAGCCATCAAGAAGCAGCAGCTAAATGGTTATTACTAGGAGGAGGGAAAAGGTGAAAGGAAGGTGTCAGGCATTGTATCTATGTAAATCTTCATAGCAATGCTACAGTTCTGTAAGGTGGGTCTTTTTGTACTTTTTACAAATGAAGACACTGGAGTTCAAAGAGGCTAAGTATTGTTCTTTAAATGTTTCCCACTAGTGAGTAGTGGTACTGAGACTCTAACCCAGGTCCATCTGACCTCAGCTGCAGTGCACTGTGTCTCCAGCAGGAGGTGAGATGTGACCGCTTTCCTCCTTATCAGGTTATTCATTCTGGCTCATGGAACTAGAATCAGGTTATGATGATTAATATTTCTGCTTAATGTGTTACATTTTCTTTGCCACCAATCTTTCTGTTATTAACATTGGAAACCAAACTTACCCAATGCAACACCTTTTTTGCTCATGAGTCACAAATATCAGGACTTTGGATAGAAGAAGCTTAAACAATAAATAAGGGTTTTGATTGTTGGATGACACTTCACTCCATAATCACACATGCTTTTTAAATAATTGAAAGAGTTGGTTCAGATCAAAGGCTATATAGAATAAGAATTTATCGAGTTTGTTGAGGCTTAAAGCCTGCAAGCAACAAAAAAAAAATGTTATTCTCTCAAGTAAGGAAGTTATCTATTAATTCAAATTCTTGGGTGTAAATGTTAATATTGTAACAGAAAGAAGACCGTGCAGAAAGATGATACATTTCTACAGAGCGTAACATTGGTTCATTCATACCATGCTGTAAGCTTTCCTCATGGGATAGTGATGTTATACTTTATTTATTTATTTATTTATTTTGAGATGGAGTCTCTCTCTATCTCCCAGGCTGGAGTACAATGGCGTGATCTCGGCTAACTGCAACTTCTGCCTCCTGGGTTCAAGTGATTCTCCTGTCTCAGACTCCCGAGTAGCTGGGATTACAGGAGCACACTGCCATGCCCGACTGCTTTTTTGTATTTCAGTAGAGACAGGGTTTCACCATGTTGCCCAAGTTGGTCTCGAACTCCTGATATCAGGCAATCCACCCACCTCGGCCTCCGAAAGTGCTGTGAGTACAGGCGTGAGCCACCACCGCACCCAGCTGTGATGTTATATTTTATAACCCCCACTTGTCTGTCATTCTCAATCATCTGTATCCCTCAGACATCCTGAATACACACTCTAGGTCACTCAGGATGTACACTAGAGGGTTCCTGGACACTGCTGAAATAACTGCCACAGAGTGCACCAACAAAATCCTCTTACCTTATGGAAAAAAAGCCATGCTTGCGTTTTGGTATGTTTTCTATTTAGAGTTTATTGAATCGTAAATATTGTGCAAATCCAGTAGTCTTACAAATCAGTATTCTCACATCAACTTTGAGCAAAAGTAACAAATGCCAAGAAGTGGAACCGGTAGCCTCAGTGACTACCCGCGAATAAGAAAAGAAACAAAGTATGCAGAATGACACAAAGCCCAATACGTTCATTAACTTATATGGTAGTGGCTCTGAGTTATCAAGGATGCACTGAATTATATTCTGTGCCTGATATTTAAGAAAGTATGAAGGTATGTAATCATATTTAGCAAAATTTCCAACAAAACATGTTAAAATAATTCCTAGCGATTTTCTAAAAATCTTGATAGAAACTTAAAAAACAAACCCTGTACTTATAGAAGAGATGTAAGCCATTTCTCCCTTCTTTTCGGGTATGTGCCTCTGGGCCCTGGTGTACTCTCACAGGTTGTTTATGAAAGGAGTCTTAGCCATTCCTGTGTCTGCAGAGGCTGCAGCTATGAATATCAAGACAAGTCTGCACATCTTAGTGATATGACTGGTTCCTGTATGTTTTAAACTTATTCTCAGATTATCTCTAATTTATTTGTCCATTTTCTTCTTTTTCCATAAGCTAATTTAAAACTCTCATTGGAAAAGAAAACTTGTCCTATGAGGGTCAAATGAAAACTACTTTGACTTGACTCACATCATTACCTTTTGCAGCCTTCAATGCCTGAAAA